TGTGTGCGTGGTAGCTTGCAGTACCACAAAAGGATCAGTCAGATGACGGGCAATTTTAATTTTCTTAGTTATAAAAACATGGCTTCCCTCTCAGATCATAGGGATGAGTTCAGGCCTCCTGGCTGCTCTTTGGGGGGGGGGGGACTTCAGTGAGCTGTACACAAAGGCTGTGTCTTGCCTTGGTTGGCACTTTAATAGTGTGCCCATCTCAGCACAGAAGACCCCGGTCCCCACTAGAGTCCCAGTTTGGATTGTGTGCCAGGAGGAGGCCAAGTCTGTCCTTGTGTCTGAGCCTTGGGTCCTAGGGTGAGGGAGGGTCATGTTTGCTGGCCCCGCCCTTCCCAGGAGACCGCACTATCAGTGGCACCTAGATAGCCCTATTGGCCTGGGTGCATCCCTCCCTAGTGGAAACCCCACTCTGACCTCTCATCTTCCAGATGATGCCTTCATCAACCCTCACCTGGCTAAGATCTTTGAGCGGGTTCGGCAAAGTGCTGACTTCATGCCGCTGAAACAGATGACGGTGAGGTTTGCAGGAAATAGCTTGACCTAAGCTGTGGGGGCCAGCTGGGTGCATTATCAGGGTACCCCCAGATAACCAGGCTGTGTGCCTCTCTTCCCTGGCTTCTTTCCAGAAAACGCTTAACAATGACCTGGGTCCCCACTGGAGGGACAAGCTGGAGTACTTTGAGGAGCGGCCCTTTGCAGCTGCCTCCATAGGGCAGGTGCACCTGGCCCGCATGAAGGGTGGCCGTGAGGTGGCCATGAAGATCCAGGTAGATGGCCCTGTGTGGTGTGTACCTATCCTCACAGGATGTCAGAGGGTGGGACCTTTCCCATGTCTCCTGAGACATGTCTTTCTGTCCTTAGCACCTGGTGCTGGGCAAGTGTTTGCTAGGTGAGGGGTTGGGGTTGGAGCTGTTTCCCAGAGCCTATGCTGGAACCCAGGCCTTTTCTGGGGCTAGAGTAAGGAGAAATGGAGAGCAGGGTGGTGAGGGGTAAGGTCATGACAACCTTGCTTTAGTCTTGGCTCTGTCATCTAAGGATCTGGCCACAAATTGCTGGGAAGCTAATAGGCAGGACAGCCTGAGCTGCCGCCTCGTCACTCACCCCCCCCCTTCCCTCCTCTCAGTACCCTGGCGTGGCCCAGAGCATTAACAGTGATGTCAACAACCTCATGGCTGTGCTGAACATGAGTAACATGCTTCCAGAAGGTCAGGCTGGGCTGCAGGCATGAGGTGGGTGGGGCGGGTTCTGGGAGTGCAGAGTCCTGGTCCCACCTGATGCCCATCTCTGGCACAGGCCTGTTCCCTGAGCACCTCATTGATGTGCTGAGGCGGGAGCTTGTCCTTGAGTGTGACTACCAGCGGGAAGCTGCCTATGCCAAGAAGTTCAGGTGTGGCTCTTATGGGGCCCTCATGAGGCTGAGGGGCACCAGAGTGGGCAGGCTCCTCTGTTTCTAAGGGTGGATGGCCCTGGGGCTGGTGATGGTCACATCCTCTCCACTGCAGAGGGCTCTGCATTGGGGGCGCTGTGGAGGGTGCAGACTGGATGTAAGCTCCCTCTCCACACAGGGAGCTGCTGAAGGATCACCCCTTCTTCTACGTGCCTGAGATTGTGGATGAGCTATGTAGTCCGCACGTGCTGACCACTGAACTAATAACAGGCTTCCCCTTGGACCAGGCAGAAGGGTTGAGCCAGGAAGTCCGGAACGAGGTACCCTCAAGCTGTGCTGAGCTGTTGTGCTGGGCACCTAATGGTGTGAACAGAGACCCTAAGCCCTCCCTGGGGAGTTTGGACAAGGGGGTGATGAGTGATTGAATCTTTCTTTTTGGGTGGGCAAAGACTTTGGCGGTCACAAGGCAGTCTGTGCTGCCTGACCCAGGGTCTTATCTTGTCCCCAGATCTGCTACAACATTTTGGTGCTGTGCCTGAGGGAGCTGTTTGAGTTCCATGTCATGCAGACTGACCCCAACTGGTCCAATTTCTTTTATGACCCTCAGCAGCACAAGGTAAGCCCCAGCCGAGCCCCACATGGAGGTCTCAGCAGAGACATATGGGGGCTGAGACACTGCAATAGTCCTCCTGTCTGCTCTATGCTCAGTGCTGTATCTCCATCTGTAGGTGGCTCTCCTGGACTTTGGGGCAACTCGGGAATATGACAGATCCTTCACTGACCTCTACATCCAGGTAAGATCACTGTATTTCAGAGGCCAAGAGCCAATTCTGGGGCTTGAAAGTGTGGGAGAGCCTCCTGGAGCTGGCCACAGCCTGTCAGGCCCACGTAGCTAGCTGTGGCTCCCAGGCCAAGGGTTGTGGTAGGGCAGGCACATCTCTGTTCTACCCAGGTCATCCGGGCTGCTGCTGATCAGGACAGGGAGGCAGTGCTGAAGAAATCCATAGAGATGAAATTCCTCACTGGCTATGAGGTCAAGGTGAGTGACCCACCCAGGCTCAGCTCTTTCTCTGTAGGCGTGGCTATCTTCCCTTGGAACCTAAGCACCAGCTGCTCTTGGAGGCCTCCTTATGTCCAGCACTGTGAAAACTCAGCACTCTGTAGTTAGTGTGTAGGGTGGAGCAGAACCACTTTGTGCCACCTGCCCACCCTGCTTGGGTGGGCAGAGTACCCCAGGCCTTCAGAGCCTCAGGGAGCTGACCCTCCCTGACCTGGGTTCACACCCACTGCTAGGAGTGTAACATCAGCATGGGTATACATACCAAGCTGACTTCCTACTTCCTGTGTGCAGCTGGCTTGGTTTGTCCCCACCCGGGTGCCCCTTGTCCCTTCAGTGCTCTCTGCTGGTGACAGTTAGTTCTCATGTGCCTTGTGCCTCACAGGTGACTACTGCTGTGTGCTAGGAACTAGGCAGGCTCCCACGAGAGTCCTTATGTAGGAACCAGGCCCTGCCCATTCTGTGGGAGTGAAGGCCTCTGCACTCCGCCTTGTCTTGTGTCTGCCTGGCTTTTGAGGGTTGGAGTTGTACAAAACCATCCTGTCACTGCTTGTCTGATGTCCTCCAGACCTGAGAAGTTGGTTCTAAGATTAGAAACTATGGTAGGACCTGGGGGGCTTCTGAGCCAGTCACCTCCACCCTTTTTCTTGATGTAGGCCATGGAGGATGCCCACCTGGATGCCATCCTCATCCTGGGGGAAGCCTTTGCTTCAGAAGAGCCCTTTGACTTTGGCACCCAGAGTACCACTGAGAAGATCCATAACCTGATCCCCGTCATGCTGAAACACCGCCTCATCCCTCCACCAGAGGAGACCTACTCCCTACACCGTAAGATGGGCGGCTCTTTCCTCATCTGCTCCAAGCTGAAGGCCCGCTTCCCCTGCAAGACCATGTTTGAGGAAGCCTACAGTAACTATTGCAGGATGAAGTCCGGGCTGCAGTAGACTAGGCGTGGGCTAGGCTCACTAGGGGCCATGCCTTCCCTCAGGTTCAGCGAAGCAGAGGGAGGATGTTGAGCGGGAGCCATAGCCTCCATGAGTAGGAAGTGAGCAGTACAGAGACCCCACTATTGCTTCTGTACTGTCCAGACAAAATGGCAGGCTTCTTGTGCCATCTCCTCCCTGCAATGGGTGTCCACCAGGAACACAGCAAAGTAAGACTAAAGCCGGCCTAGCTACCTTTGGGGTCTAGTTGGCCATGTAGACTGAAGTTTGTGTGTTTCCGGGTAAGTGTGTGTTCCTGTCCCTTGCCACCCCAGCTGGGTCTCAGCATGGACAACAGATCCTTTTCAAGAGCAAAACAGGGCCATCACTGGAGGAGCAGTGGGCTCCAGCATGTTCCAGGAGAGGCAGTTACTACCCCGCACCAGCGGATCAACAGGCTGTTTGTATGTCTCATAATCTCATGTTCACACCCACATTCAATAAAGAAGTGTGTTGGGGACTACCATTTGCTATGTTCTGTGAGTCCTGGGAATGGGGTGGACTCACGTATGACCTGGGTGGTGGTCTTTACCTGTAAATGTCTCAGATCTAGAGTATCTGTTGCTCTTGGTGGGGACAGAATGTGGTGACTCAGGCAGACATTAAGAATTTTTTTGCATTCATGTCTCTGACCTCAAGGCTTCATTGGCACTGGGGACTGAGCCAAATGCCTTGAGGTGTGAAGCAGGTGTCTACACTGAGTGTTATCCTCAGCCCTTTTACTTCTGAGACAGGATCTCATTAAGTTGTTACAGCAGGAGGCCTTAAACTTGTAACCCTCCTGCTCAGCCTCCCAAGTAATTAGGATAACAAGTCTGAGCCACCGGACTTCTTAGCCATTTTAGAGGAAACAAGCTTGTGGGTTCAGTGGCCACAGAACAGCAAGCACTAAGAGGTGGGATTGGGACAGAACAGTGTGACCTTAAAGTTCATGCTAAGTATGTGCCTTGCTAACTACCGCCCCTGCACCAAACAGCTCACTGTGCCTTTTAATTAGTGTTACTGGCACATGGCGCTCTTGTCCATGTGTCACAGACCTTTTCTTTGTGGAAAGTTTGCCAAGTCCTGATCTCCACAGATGATGTCTTTGAGGCCCAGGGTGATTTGTGGATCTCTAAGAGTCCCAATGGCTAGGAGGGGTCTGAGTGACTTCAATTACTGTTTTGGCATTTCTGATAAGATCATGCAGCATTACCTGAGTTCCAGCCTCATCATTCTAAGTCACCAAAACAGGGATCCAACACTTTCAAGCGGCTGTTTACACAGGCAGCAATCAAATTGTTCCCAGCTTCACACTAGACAACCATGAATCTCAAATGCCTGCGGAGTGTGGCCCAGCAGCCCAAAGCAATGACTAAAACGTTTTTATTAGAGGAAGGAAGCTGAACACTTCCAGGGATTTTGATATTATTCTTACCTGAACTCCGAGTCCCAGATCAAACCTCAGGGGCAAGCTGACCTGTGTCCTCTGGGTGTATAAAGAAGAGGCCCAGAGGAGGGCCTAGCAGCCACGGACTCCTCATACTCTTCACATAGGGAAAGAAAAAGACAAAATACTCAATCCTAACAGTTCCTTATTTTATTGCAGTACATCAAAGTCTGGTTAATAGGTGACACCAACATAAAATCTTGGTGAGAAATTCTTTGTTTACACTTTTGACTATCCCACCTTAAATAATTCTGTGCAAAAGAACCCATGTCATAGTCTTGTAGCAGACACTCTTTCAGGAAGTTCCCTAAGACATCAAGGGATGAAGCCAAACCAAATGAGTGATTAAGAGACCAAAGCAGTACCTTCCTTCCACACACATTGATCAGCATCGTAGTCTAAACAAAAATGGTTACACCCAGGCCATGCAAAACTGTACAATAATATTACAACGAGAAAAAAAACCCTAAAAATTTATAAAACAAATGATATACTGTCAAATAAAAAGGCAGGTAATTTGTTTTCAATGGCATCAAGGCTGACCGACTGTACAGGGCCCTGTGTAATGCTGTCCCTGGGACAGGAGAATGTGATGCTGGCACTGGCAGGAAGCACACTCACCACAGCCAGCAGGGCTCCACAGGAAACTGGGAACTTGCAAAGACCGAAGGTTTCAACAAGGAACAAGCCACTGAAGGGTGAAGTGAGATGCTATGCAGCCAAACCAGGTTGGAATGGGGCAGGACAGGGCTGGCCATGTGGGCCTGGGAAGGACTGGTGGTCTTGGGCAAAGTATGCCTTGCAGCAGGGTTGTCACGCTGTTTTGAGTGCATTCATGTTTGGGAGAGGGGGTGTCAGCTAGGTCTACTGAGCTGGGAGAATTGAATTTGTAGTCATTGCCAAGGCTGCATGGTGGGCTGTTGCATCTGGGAGTGGACGTCCACCCCTCTGCTCTGGCTTTTCCTTAATGATACCTGAGGTTCCACGCAAGCCAGCTACTTTTCTTAGAAATAGATGTGGCCACTAAGAAACAAAGTGACAAGAGTTTAACATGAAAGAGAAGAAGCTGAAGGAAGGGCTGGTGGGAATGACAGGAATTTCAGGTGTTCCCTATAAGCTTGGCCATAGCAATCTGCTGGAAGGCCAGGCAGGCTATTTGTAGTTATTGCCCCTTAGTCTTAAAGCTGTGCTCACGGGGAAAGAACATGAATGGCCAAGCACAGGGAGTGTGCACCCAAAATATATATTTTAAGTGAAATCTGCTTTAGCAATTGACAGGAAGGCTTTTGTTTTTGGCAATAAAACCAAACCAAAAAATGTAATATATTTGCATACCCACCCAAAACCCACATAACAGATGAGCCAGAATTCAAGGGCTAGTAGCAAACAGGCTGGACATAGCACCAAGTACTAACCCATAGACACTATGCCAGGAATGGCTCTGAATGCCGTTTTTCCCTACTTAGAGATCAATTCCTACTGCTGCTCACATTCAAATGCCTTGCATGGGGTAGGGGGAGTGATCTCACACAGGGCTGCAGGCTTTCCCTCTGGTCTTAGTTGGCCACTGCTGAGGGATCTTGGCTTCTGTCTTTCCTCACCTTCCTCCACAGCTTCTGACAGGAACGCTCTTCATGTAAGGCTGGGGTGAGTCTAGTAAGACAGTGGTTATTAGGAGAAACCCACCCCACACTCTGGGCCAGGGCTGCTGCTAAGACACCTGGATCTATGACTGCAGAGGAAAATCTGCCAATCCACAGCAGAGCTCAGGTTGGCTCACTGCAATGGAGCTGACCTGTAGGGAGGTTTCAACTGTGACTCTAAAGGGTTCTTTCACAACAAGCACCTGTAAGCAACAGAAATTCACAAGTGGTTGTCAAAGCAACAGACCAAAGTCTCAGGGTAGAGTCAGTTTTCTGCCTAGGAAGGACAGGCAAGGGCAGGGAACAGAGAAGACAGGAGGGACAGAGGGGGAGGAGCCAGTGCTATCAGGCAAAGTGCCAAGTTCAAGCAGATACAGTAATAGGGCTCTGACAGAACTCAAGATCTGACCCTTAGTTTTGGATGTACACAAATATTTTTGTAACACTTCCAAAAGCAAAATGATTGAGTTTAGAATGACATAATGCACATCCAAAACAAAATGTACTCATGTCGGAGCCAGTGGAGAATCTAGAATGTTTGTCAAAGCTGTTGTTTAATGACCCTATCAGAAGTACTCCTATCACCATCCCCCTCCCTGAACTCTGACCTCCAGTGTCAAGTGTCAGCATGCCAGGCAGGTTAGCAACTCTGGAAATCTATTTTAGGTGTAGTTTAAGGTGGGGAGAAATAATGGCTTTTTCAACCCAAAATAGGTGGAAATGAAGAGTGGCAGGGCCTCTTTATTGGCATGGGATACCGTAGTTTCCGTCTTCTCTACGTTCTTAGCTGGTGAGACACGTGGATTTCATCATGCTTCCTTGGACAACTATAGCAGCACATATCCAGAGTGAAAGCAGGCTGGCGATCCCTGGCGACCAGCACACCCCCAGGCCCACACAGGCCCCACTGTCCCCTCACGTGGAAAGGCATATTTGGTCAAGGCTGTTCAAGCCCGTGCTTCTGAGGTTTTACATGATTTAATAGGGAGAAAGAAGCCCTTTCCTCAGGAGAGTGTGTGAGGAAGTTCACAACTACCCTTAACAACTGGGAAGCTGTGCCCAGTCCAAACTGACTCACTGCTACCTAGGGAGGGACAGGATTTGGCCAGGACAAAAAACAGCTACACGAACCATTCCATGACCTTCAGAAGCTGGGACTCTCTCCCTGTGCCCTTTATGATGGGAAGGGTCAGGAGATGAGAGAATTGTCTTTCACATTCATCTGTGCGAAATATCAAAATATAGTAAGAGGGGGAAATGTTCAAATCCATCATTGGAGAAATGCCTTGGGGGGGGGGGAATGTTCCTCTGGAACAGCTTCAATGCCGCCCGTGGTGTCCAGGTCACACCCCACCAATGGCATTATCTCCAAAAATTCCTTAAATTTCTCTGTGACCTCAGCCTGCCCAGGCTTCAGGACAGACACCACGGGGACAGGACTTCTGCTTTCTCTTTACAAATGTCACTTGAGGCCTTTCTACCCTGTATATATGACTTAGCTGGGAAACAGACAAGAAACAACACATTTCTTTAAATTAAATGATCTTTCTTATATATGCATCCATCTTTCATTGAACACAAGATGCTTCTTAGACTATATACATTCAGTATTTAACTTCTACATTTATGTATTTATTTAAACTCTGTATTGTAGTAAAATATGCATTGTTTTGAGTCGTGAGGATTTATTTCCTGGCAACAGTCAGGCTGACGCTCATGGAGGCTGCTGGGCGCTATGTGAGGACTACGGTGAGAACACAACCAGTCTACTCTTAGCGCTGCGTCTGCGCAGTCTGTCTATAGAAGCTACCTGGGGAGGGGGGGTGGTAGTGGTGGTGAAGCGGGCCTGGCTGCGGAAGAATCCTTATTGCAGCAGTGCGGAAGGAGACGCTGCTGCCAGGCACGTTGTCGGGGTGCAGAGTCCCTGCCTGTGGCCACCACGGGCTCAAGGATCCCAGTTCCCGCGGTCTGTGCTCTCCAGGGAAAGGCTCTTGGTCTTTCGGGGTGAAACGGGGCTTGGGGGGCTGCTCAGGTTGGAGCTGTTGGAAGCTGTGGAATGCCTTGGAGAATCAGAGTCCTGTAAAACAAGGCACTATGAGAAGCTCAGGGACAACAAGAAGGACACTCACTGCTCCCCGTCCCCTCCAGTGACCACACCCCCACCCTTGGACGTCTCTCGTCAGCAGACTATCTGTAAGATGATTGGAGGACACACCACACACACACACACACACACACAGAGAGAGAGAGAGAGAGAGAGAGAAAGAAAGAGAGAGAGAGAGAGAGAGAGAGAGAGAGAGAGAAAGAGAGAGAGAGAGAGAGAGGCACATACGCCTTTAATTAAAAAGCGACTAGAGGGTTAGGTCTTCTGGGAAGTCTTAGCTTGTACCCACGTGACAGTCCTTGCCAACCCTTCAGAGGCATATGCAAGGATCAGCCTGGACAATGCACTGGCCTTAAGCATGCAGCCACCATTTACCTCTCCATCATAGTCCCTCGCAGGGGCGTCACTTCCTTGGTCCATGCCTCCCGATGACAAAGAGCCCTCCGAGGGAGAGGGCATGGGCTGTCGCTTCGTGTTGTAGCTTCCTCCAGAGAATTCCCTCTTTAGTGCACTGCCATTCTGGGCTGATGACCCTACAGGACGCCATTTTGGAAAAGCTATGTTAGGAAGAAGTCACGCCTGTGTAAGGTATACAGGCTGCCAAGAAGACAAGGCATTTCCCAGTAGGAGCAGGAAGCCCAGTGCTGAAGGTTGTTTCTATCGCCCTCTGGCTGCAGGACTGCTGCTGTTTGGCCATGCAGAGCCCACAGAATCCTTCCAGCGCCACCGCGCCACCTGCCACTCCCTGCCTCAGCATGCTGTACCAGACAACATTGTAACAAATGGCAACTCTGCCTCGTTGGAACTCACAGTTTTCTAAGAGATGGGCTGCATTCCAGCACCAGACAGTCACCCGAGGCAAACACCGTCTTTCAGAAACTCACAGAAAACAAAGGAAACATAGGGAAGCATCTCATACTTCACAGCCAAGGAGTTTCTCTGAGAGCACACCCACATGTGGTGACCTTAGAGCTGGAACACACAGCAAAGCAACCAGCAGCACTGACAGCAAGGAGGGAGAGACAAAAAAGGCCCTCTGGAGTATCGTCAGTGCCCACTCAAAAGCTCCCCATGGTCTTCACTAGGTTTTAGTATTTGCTTAAGAAAACTTTATTTTACTAAGTGTCAGCAATGGTCAAGGACACTGTAAGTTACAGATGGACCGCTTCAACATTCTGCTAATTTTATCAATGCCTTTTACATAAAAATCTGATTTATAAAAATGTCAACCAATGACTGTCATGTCTAGCTGTGACCACCAACCATGTTAGTGTTAGGAAAGGCATTGAGTGGAAGTCCTCCACACCGCCACAGCCCCTCCCCTCCCTCCCTGGGGCTAAGCCCCCCCACAGCAGTCACCACACCTGACCCCTTCCAAAGACTGCCAGTGCTGCTTCTAAGCTGGTGTTCTGGAAGCGCAGTACACTGCTTGGGTCTTGCCAGATCCACTAGACCCAAATTCCTGACTTAGGGACCCTGATGGCCACTGATGGCTCCCACTCCCTAGTGCTGTCCCCTCACAGCACAGCAATGCCCCTCCCCTCCCCTCCCCTCCAGTTACTGGCCCTGCCAGTTCTCATTTGCACGGAAATCCCTTTGGAAACACTCTTTACTCCGACATAGGTCTTTGGTCTCTCTGGACTACAACCGAATGGAAGGCAGTTATCTTAATTGTCTTCCCTAATGCCTAGTTGAGTGTCCAGTTGGTATCACAGCCATATGTCACTCTGAATAGAAAATCCAAACCACCAGCCTTTCACATGTCTTTTCTTCAGTCTTAACCAGGTTGTTCTTGCCTTTCTCAGTCTCAATTTTTCTTACCTATACATGAGGAAGAACACCCTGCCTTATGGTTTGAGAACTCACTGAAGAATGAAGAATAGCACATAAAGGCAGGAGAGGTGAGAAGGGCCTGTTGTACACTCCCTGAATCCTTGCCCTAGTCTCCCCCTTCCACCATCACTCATGAACAACAGAGAGCTCAAATCCATGTTAGGGATACACACAGATAATCTACTTAAAATTTACTTTAATTTGTGTATGTGTCTTTGTGGTATGTGCACATGAGTGCAGGTGCCCAAGGAGGCCAGGGGCATTGCATGCCCTGGAGCTGGAGTGATGGGGAGGTCCCTCTGTATGCCGTGAATGAATAAAGCTGTTGCAGCCAATGGACAGGCAGGATATAGCCAGGCAGGAAGTATAGGTAGGGCTACCAGACTAAGAGAATTCTAGGAAGAGGAATGCAGACAGTGAGTCTCCAGTGAGACACCATATAGCCGCTGAGAAAGAAAAAGGCCCAGGCATTCTCCAGTAGCCAAGACCACATGGAGATACATAGATTAATAATTATGGGTTAATAATTAAGAGAGAGCTATCCAGTAAGAAGCCTGAGCCATTGGCCAAACTGTTTATAATTAATATAAGCCTCTGTGTGTTTATTTGGGACTGAACTATTGTGGGACTGGACAGGACAGAAACTTCCAGCTACCCTGGGGAGTCTATGGGGCTGCTGGCTGTGGAACCATTATTTATCCTTAGTGCAAGAACTGACTTTTTTGGAGCCCATTCCCTACAGAAGGATACTCTCTCAGCCTAGATACAGTGGGGAGGGCCTCAGTCCTGCCCCAAATGATGTGACAGACTTTGATGATCCCCCATGGGAGGCCTCCCCCCTCTGAGGAGTGGATGGGGGGGTTGGATGTGGAGATGGTAGGGGGAATGGAAGAATGGGAGAGGGAACTGAGATTGGTCTGTAAAATAAGATTGTTTTTAATTTAAATAATAATAATAATAATAATAATAATAATAATAATAATAATAATAATAAAAGACACATCCATAGCCTTGGTGGATCTGGGAGGATCCAGGTTGTTTCTAGAAACTGACAATGTAGCTCCTCCACTTCTCATCTTTCCTAGCTGCTGGTTGTCCTTCCAGCTAGGTTGGATGGTTGGATGACATATGAAGTCAGTAGGAAACATAAAAAGAGCAGATGGCCATTGGAATTTCTGGGATGTCTTTGTTCACATCTCTACAACTGTCTTCAGCTGGGGATCTATCTGACAAAGGCATCACTTGATGAAGGCATTAGGGCCTTGGCAGGAAAGTGAGACCACTTCTAGGCTGTAGTTTTCATGCCAACAACACTGAACCTCTCCCCAGCTACTCTAGGATCTCTATTATCATAATCATCCACAATCCTAACTAACAAATCCAAAGTCCCTGAAAGACGTGGGTTTTTGTTTCTTTAAGTGCCACATAAGATTCATGTGATGGCAAAAACTCATTGGAACAGACTGGAGCCAATGCTGGGCTTTATTAAGGCTACACTTATCATAAATGTATAGTGTGAATGGTCTGGTACAATTTTTGTTGCGTAAATTAATATTAGTTTGTAATTATGAGGAAAACTAACCTGGCTCTCTACCTGTTTCAAGTGATGCTGGCCAGTCTACTGTAGCTCTTTACCTGGTGACCTGAGCTATGGTTTAAATCCACTAGCAGTCATCTGGCTCCCATACATACCAAGGCTAACACAGTCACTGCCCTTCTCTCACCGGCCTGGATTTTGCACTGTGACTGGCATTACACATTGGCTCAGGATGACTTTAGGAGCTGACAGTAAATTACAATCTTCAACTTCTGCAAATGCACTGAAGACTCTTGAAAAGGCTCTTACATCTGAGGCCACGCCCCAAGGCGGAACTGCTCCCTATGGTTAGACAACAAGCAGCTCCCACCCATGAAGAGAGAACACTCATGAGCTGAGTGAATAGTGTCAACAGCACACTGGTGGTCCCTGTGATTATGTCACACAGAGACATTACTGCTGTCTCTAGGCTCTAAAGTCTGTTACCTTGCACAAAAACAAGATCTTCTAGAGACACATTTTCTAGAACACCCTGCCGTCAGGTGATGTGGGACTGCCTATCATTTCTGTTTCTGTCTGTCCCTCAGCCCACTTGGCACTACACAGCAAGGCCCACTCATGAGAATGGAGCCCTTCGACCAAGTTAGTGCACAGGTTCAGCCTCCTACAACCACAGGGTTGAGTTGACTGCAGCCTTACAAAAGAGCTCAGACCATTCTGACTCTCAGACACCACGTGAGGTAATAAATTAATGCATGCCGTGGTGTTTGTCTAGTCAACTTTCCTGTCTCCTGACACTCCCCCCTCTCTCTTTCCTACCTCCCCCGACCTTTTCTTGTCAGGCAGGGTCTCATCACACGGCCCAGACTGGACTCTTGCTATTTTCTTGCTTCAGAGCTGTACCGCTCATCCAGCTTGTTTACATTTCTAAGTTGTGGGGTAGTTTGCTATGCTGTACATTAGGTTCAGCACAACTGAACCTAATGATGACCGGAAGCAAAACAGGTACAGAAATCAATGTTTACTGATTAAACAATAACTGTATCAGGACAACCCAAGAATATAGAGTAATGAATACGTTTTCTGACTGAAAGACTTTGGCATAGGGATTTAGTGCACTGAGCTGGTCTCAGTCATCAGTGGCTGGGGGTGAGGAAAGGCTTTGTTGGGGTCCCAGGGGTTAGCACACAGATGGTATCCGCTGCAAACTCAAAGCTGATGCCACCATCCACACATAACCCCTGCTACAGAACTACCACAGCCCACAAGGAACTCTATGAGAGTGTACATATACATATCCCTGCACACTTAGGCATGCTGCTCTGAGCATCAATGTATACTTCCATTCAGGTAGACAAGGGATCCCATGAATTCTACCAGGAAATTGCTCCTGGGCAGGGGAGCTCAACTGTCCCAAGCGACACATTTTCTTGTGGTCTCACCTCCTCAGCTCTACTTTTACCTCCCCACTATGACCACTTGGCAATGCTTCTTCCCATCTGGGCACTTACGTGCAGACAGGCCACTGCTGGCACTCATGGAGCGGCCTGGTTCAGGGCGGGACTTGGTGATGGAGGGAATACTGACGGAGCCACTGAATACGGTCCGGTTTTCCTGAGGACGTGGGTTCTAAAACACAAGAGAGGCATAGTCTTCAGCTGGAAAGACACAGGTTTTGTGCAGACATCTTGCCTTTCACTCTGCTGTTCTCAAGACACAAAGTGATCTTGAACAGAATTATGCAGGTAGGGAGCTATAGGGACCCAATCCTTCCCACCATCAGGACTTTGAAGCCCTGACATGAAATGACTCTCACCCCCGCCAAGAAGCACTTACCAATAAACCATTTTTTTTTTTTTTTGGTTGTGAAATGTTATATGGTTAACTAAGAGTGGAGTGCAGAATTACATGGACATTTGCAGATAACAGAAACATCTTTGACTAGAGATGAATTTACTTAAGAAACCTGAGTAAGCCCCTTTAGAGAAGTCAATTAAAACTGACTTTAAAAAAGACAAAAAATATCTTCTTGACACCATGAGTCATTTGCATGACCATGCCTCAGTTGTTCAGAATCTTGCTAGCTCTGGCCATGAGACCTCACGCTGCACGTGGCAGACCAGTAACACTGTGCTTCAGGCTAGATGGAAGGGGTCCAGAGAGTGCAGACACCTAATATACTTTCTAAATCTTAACGTAGGCAAACCATATGGCCATGTTCCTAACTTCTTTCTCCACTTACAAAGCTCTCCTTGTATGGACATGGCCCCAAATTCCTGCAAATGAGGCAAAGGGTCTAATCAGTCTCTCTCTCTGTGGTGTGTGTGTGTGTGTGTGTGTGTTCATGTACAGAGGTCAGGTGACAACCTCCAGGTGCCAGCCCTTGCCTTTCCATCTAGTTTGCAACAGTGTCTTTCCCATTGTGTTAGTAAAGCTTTTATGGGTTCTGGGGATCTGGACACTGGTCATAAGGCTTGCACATCAGGCTTTTACCCGACAAGTCATCTCCTCAGCACCCCTACTTTTTTTTAAATAAAAAGCTTAAGTTTCCCCCACCCTATCACACTTCTTTTCAGTGCCATAGAACACAAAATGAACTAGTGCATTTTAAGATGTTACAACAGTTTTCCTACCTTATTGTTTAAAAACCAGTGAATCTTTTATCACATGGTGTGGAGGAAATATTACCCCCTCTTCTAGCAGGTTAGAGAAACGCATCCACATATACAGCTCACGCTGACATTCACTCTGCTGGGGCATGACTTAGGCCTGCTCAGGATTTCATTAGTCTGTGTCAATAGGAACTATCTCACCCCAAGGCTTTATGAGGTTCAGCAAGAAAAAAGGTCTAACTGCTTCAAGCCTTCATTTCCCCTTCCCTCCTTTTTACTGTTTCTCCCAAACATTAATGGAACTGGGGAATGAACAGACTCAGGGCTTTGTGCGTGCCTGGCAATTGCTCTCTCCCTGAGACACACAGTAAACCAGTAGGCTATGTTTTATATTTTTTCACTTAATGTCCTCTTATTTGCTCTTGAAACACAGAAAACCAGAGAGCACTGTGGGAAGGTAGTCCTTCATTCACAATCACCCTGCCTCGTGCTGATCCAGCTTGCTTGGTTGCTCAGGAAGCATTCAGTTCATGATTGCTTCCAGTGTTGTTTCCTTAGTCCATGTGTTCTTTCTTTCTTTTTCTTTTTAAAGATTTATTTATTTTTATCTTATGGCATGTATGTTTGTGTGAGGGTGCCAGATCACCTGGAACTGGAGTTGTGAGCTGTCATATGGGTGCTGGGAATTGAACCCAGGTGCTTTTAACCACTGAGCCACCTCTCCAGCCCAAATCATTATTTCTTTATACTGAATAAAAATATGACCAACATTTCACTCCTGGACATAAAATAGGTACTAAATATATTTATTGGATAGATGATTGGATTATATCTGCAACCCCCATTTCCTACTTCAGGCATCAGATTAATTCAGCTGGTAATCAATACATTTCAGATTACGATCCTCTCTGAGGAAGATACTATGCTTTAGTTTATACTGGTTTATGTACGTGTATGTGTGTAAGTTTTAAGGACACAGAATCCACTTCATGTAATTTTGGAAGAAAGAATAAAAATTTTTGGGAACAATTGAATAAAATGTTAGCAATTCTTAAACAAATGTATGTGTGTGTGCGAGCATATGCATGCCTTCAGCAGGCCCCCAATTCTTCTGATTCTTACTAAGCTGACCCATATGCCAACACTGCTGTCTCTGCTAGTATATGCCAATGATCAAACAATTTAAAACAGGACCTATGAAATGAGGCATAGACAAGAAAGAAACAAAAAGGAAAGGTAGCAGTGTGTTTAAATATTCTTGGTTGCTAACAAGGTCTAGAACTGGACCCTCACTTCCCAGTTACCATGTGACTACGAGCTCTCCCCACCCCTCAAAGGTGATGGCTCTGGTTGTGTCTGCAGCACTGGGCTCTCCCACACACCCAAAACCTGAGAGAAGGTCACAGCAAACAATCCAAGCAACAGTGCCACCCAAAGATGTCCCCAAGCTGAAGGCTGGCTGGCTGGCTAGCTGGTCCCAATTCAGCATTGCTGTTTTGGTTCCTATACCAGATCTGCAAAGTCCACGTAATTCTGTGTGTTATTTGTTTATTTTACCTAATACAATTAAAAGAACTAAAGCCAATACAGTCAAAGGCAGTAGCTTCGCATTTGCACACAAGAACAACCTTATGAGACACAGCAACAAGTGCGAGCATCACCAAGAGGGACCCTGGAGACGAGAACTGCCGGAGTGAAGCTGCACTTCAAAGCTAACATGATTGCCATTCTTTTCTTAAAGATGAGAGTATTATTATAGAACAAATGGCTGAGAATAAGCTTCCAAAAATATGCCAGCAACTAAGGCTGAAAACTAAAATACTAAATTATTTAGTGAAACGATATAAACTTCATTAGAATATAACAAGAACCCAACTTTTGGGACTTTCTAGTAAACCACGGTGAGGAGTGGAGCAGGCGCCCCTGATGGGCACCACTCAGCTAGGATGAGCAGCTCCTCTTGTAGAGAAGCCCTGGCTGACTATGGGTCCCTTGGAATCTGCTTCCTGCTGCCAAGCAAACGAAGGCTGATTTTATTACAGTTAATTCTGTCAAGGAGGACATTCAGATGGCATTGTAATTTCATGTTAGTGACATCTGAAATATAAAGTAATTAATACAAACAAAAATAAGATTTTAAGCCTCTAATTTTCTTACTGGGAAATTACTATGTTATAAATTAAAAAAAAACTATATTACTATTTTCAGTTTGCATGATATAACCCAGATAATTTAATATCCATAAAACCAACTTCCCTTCAAGTTCACATATGTATATATTACTTGATAAAATAGATACTCTGCTTAACAGCTATTTCAACGCATGGCCCATGGCAACAAAGGTGTGGGTGGGTGAAGGACCAGCAGGCGCCATGCTTCTTCAGGGCGTTATCAGCTTCGGCTTTTGATGTTGTTGTTGTTTAATTTTTCTTATCTTTGGTCTTGGTTGCAATTAAATCCAGATCAACAAATCTTGTAAAAGCTGACTTTAACTTAAGCCCCTGTTTTTTTTTTTTTTTTTTTAAATAAAGATCCAGATTGGGGCTGTTTTTGTTTGTTTTTATTTCAGCATGGTATCCAGAATGGAAAATACCATACTGGGAAAAGTATCCAATAAAGATCATACTCTAAAGCTGCCTCTGACTTATACAGAAACCATTATTCCCCATATTTCTCTCAGAAGAAGAGACAAGATGGACTGAGAAGAGGAGGAGGGTAAACAGGAGAAGGCAGCTGAGGAGGAGGAAAGGGCTATCATTCCCCAAGGCACCCTCTTAGCAAAAGCACACATGGTTAATGGAGGTTAGTTAGCCCCAGCCTCAGCTGTTCATACCCTCAGAGTCACAGAGTGTGGTGTACCGGGGGCAGAGCGCAGGGACGTGGGGTACTCAGGGTTTATGGAATCAGGAGAGAGAAACTGTTCAGCAGAATTGACAGTCATGTGATAGATGTGCTCAAAGTTGATCGGAGAGGAGATCAGACCGGAGTGGTGGTGAGGGGATGGATAAGGGAAACCTGGCTATCAAAAACAAGGAAAGGGGAAAAAGGTGTAAGGTGATGCTAATGGACCAGGCTGAGAGACACCAGACAACATGCACACAAAGAACAAGGCAGCATCTCCCTCAGAGTTAACTTCTGTAATTGGTCACTCAAAACAGCAGATTTTCAAAAGATCATTTCATTCCCATTTTACCAGCTGAGAGAGTAGCAGGATGGCTTCCAGAGATCCAAAGGAGCTTTCAGGCTTCAGGATACATACTTATGTGATACAACAGAAGTTTTGCAAAAGTATACCCCAAACGTCAAGCACAGGAACAGCAGGGGACTGCTAAAGGGCAAGGGACCAAATCTGTTTCTAACTAGGAAGGTATAGACCCGCTTCCGCAGACTCCATGGCTATTTCTCAGTTCTGAATTTATAGACCTATGATGTGCCCTGGCCTTTAGCGATCTTATTTCTCTATAGCAAAGATGGTGAGAATTGAGGGCTCCACTATTTCTGGCTTGCCTGTAAGCAGCCCAGCCATTAGCCACCCCCAAAGGACAAGCTTGTTTTCAACAAGGGAAAATGCTGTCTTTGAATATTCACTTGTGTTTTTTAAAAGGCAAATAATATAATAATGAAGTTACAGAAGAAAAGTCTGAAGAGAAGGGTTCATATCTCCTGATAAATATTTACTTGTGAGTGAACTCTTGGGTGAGGCCACTGAGTGGCCAGCCATTTCCTACAGTGGAGATTTTTCAAAGTGCAGTTCTTGAAGAATAGCTGTTTCCAGAGCTTACCATCCCTTCACTACAGGGAAGCTTGAAGGATGTGCTGAGGAGAATGCCTTACTGAATAAAGTATGGATCATCAAGGTGAGATAAGATGCTAAAAAAAAAAAAAATGCTAAGGACTCACCTAAGCCATAAGAAAGGCTTCTCTATATGACAGTGTTTTTATTTTAGAAATGTGAATAAAATTGTTATTTTCTAAGGCTATCTCTGTCTGTCTATCACCATCCACAGTGTGGACTCAGCCCAGGCCCTCCATGCATTCATGCATGCACACATATATACATACATGCAGGCATACAATACCCAGGAAGCTCTTCACTACTAAGTGCATCCCCAGTTCAGGGAGAAAAATTACTTCTTGAAGAGGTTATTGAGTTCAGTATGCTGAGTTTGTTAAAAACTTTAAGAACGGGTAAAATGTACTGTGCTAGTAATATGGTGACAAACACTATAGTGATAAACTACTCTCATATTAGATTGGAGAAAACTTCCTGTATTTCTATCCACAGTTAAGTAAATTGTAAAGAAGATTCAAGAAAATGAACTCAGTATATTGTCTAAGACTCACATATCACTTTATATTAATTGCTTACCTTCTCTCTACTCACTAGGATGGAAATAGAAGGTACATGTCTGACAAGAGGCAAGAAAGTGATTCTTCCCAGCTCTCCATACTTAAGATGGAAGTGAGCTGACCTCAGGGTATCAGATACAAATGAAGCAGTTACACTTCCAAAGATCCTCTAAAGGCTTTCTAAGGTCTCAAGTATTTCATAGGAACATGATAGTGACTTGAATACAATGACATAAAAATATCTAGGGTACATGCTCCTTGCACAGATGGTAACATGGCTTTGGGACATGGAAGTTCTTACATATGTTATCAGATCAATGTAATTCCTCTTTTTGGGGGGAGGGATAATTCATAATTCCATCTGAATGGAGAGAACACACTGAAATAAGACTACATTAAACTACAAGGTCTTTGTCACATGAGAGCACTCCTACAGATATGCACATGTGATGTTAACAGAGTCTTCTAGATGAGCATGGTCTTGGCACAAAGTAAATGTTCAAGAGGCATGTGCCAGGTAGTTAAATGACGGCTTTACAGAGCTGGCTCTGTATGTGAAATGAGAAAAGTCATGTGGAAATAACAGGAAACAAACAAGAATCTGGACACAGGAAATTTCCGATGCCTACTACATGTGCAAATGAAGAAAAAGCTCCATAAACATGTGTCTTCCTGGAAATAGTGTTTATCTTACACAACAAGAAAACTTAAAGGAATAGAAGACACATTTAAAAACGACTGAATTGGCAGGGAAAAAGGACTAGTGTTAGTCTGGGATGGAGGCCGGGGGAGGTGGCTGTGGAATTAACAAGTCAGGTGACAATATATACTCCAAACTAATCAATCTAATTAGAATTGATAGCCAGCATGGACATCTGTGACCACACAGATGGGGGACGAGCCAGTGGGGGACGAATGACAAATGTCATCTGAAAAAGTTTTGCTTAATAATAAAAATCTTTTCTACAATAGTAATGAAAGTGTAACTTTATGGTGGACATGGTGATGGGTACCTGCCGCACTTAGAAGGCTGAGGCTACCATATGATACATAGTGAATTCAAGGTCAGCCAGGGCCTCCAGAGGAATACTCTGTCTCAAAACAAGCAGAGGATTTCTTTTAAGTGGTGAGAGAGAGAAGTGAGAAAGTAGTATACTTAGGCTGGGCTTGGCGGCACAGGCCTTTGTTCCTAGCACCCTGGAGGCAGAGGCAGTTGGGTCTCTTGAGTTTGAAGACAGCTTGGTCATCATAGAGACTTCCAGGCCAGCTATGGCTATATATTAAGACCCTGATTCAAAAAAACAAAACAAAACAAAAAAACAAACAAACAAAAAGCAAAACAAAACAAAACAACAACAACAACAAAAAACAAAATTAAAAACCCCAAAATAAAAAATTTGAAAAGAAATAAAGCCAAAAAACTTGAAAAGAAATAAAGCTGAGGGAATACATCAAACTTTCTTACAACATTTGAACTAATTTAGAATCCAAGGTCCATGCTCCATTGTATGTGAAGGTTAGAAAGGCTTTCTGATGAGAAACAACTCTTCACCCCAAAGTCCTGACATTATTCCACTTTAAGGAAAGGATTACAATGAGGGGGTACCACAAAACTTCTAGAAAAATTTTCTATAATTCCTTTTACATGGTAAAGATGTGATAAAAAAAAAACTTTCTAGGTATACTAGAATGCAACAAAAGTGAAAGATACTTTAATTTTAAGAGGTTACTATCTATCAAAACCTCACTACTATTGAACTAACTTTGATTTAGCTGGCATGCTATTCTGCAATGTATTTGTGTGCCCAAAGTTGGTTCTCCACTTTCAATAATGCTAACTACACATTTATGAAAAAAGTACCAAAGGTTCAAAACGTTCAATTAAAATAGTACACTGCACTTGATTTCTCAAGAATACAGTTACATTTAAAACTGTTTAATTCACAAAAACTCTCTCTACTAAACCATTTTGTAACTTTCACTCTGAAAAAATGAAATAGCAAGAACAGTAACAGCAGAGGCTTGGACCTTAAGACTGTGCTGCGCTGTGCTGTGTGCTGCGCGTGTGCTGCTAAGACAGAGCTGGAGCAGTGAGGACTTGAGAGCAATCAATGTTAGGAGTGGGAAAAGGAGACGTCAGAGTTCTCACTCCAGGTGGATGTTGGGAAGCAGAACAGCTTACAAACGCAGCTCTGATGTCTAATGTGCTTGACTTATATACGATCAGCTGTGATTTAGTCTGTGCACACTTTATACTAACCCAACACAGCTAATAAAATATAGACACCAAGGTGTCACTACTGTGAATGATTTATACTGCTGTGGCTGTCATCACCATCACCATCACCACTACCACTATCTTAAAGACAAAAGGTAGTAAGAAAGCACAGACATGTGACTGATATTTACAACCAAGTACTTTAGTTGAAATGAATGTAGACTTTTTTTCTTTTTTTCTTCCTAGGAAATAAATGAAAAACTCCTTTATAACCTAAGTTTTACACTGGAATTTTTACTACACATTACATTTTATCAGTTCTCTCATTTCTTCCACCAATGGTGTTGCTAATGAGAGCAAGACAGATGTCCTTAGGAAGAGATTAGGATCAATATTTACAGTTCTCTCTGAAATTGCCATAAGATAGGAATTATTTCTAAAATTCTTTGCACAGTTTAGCTGCTATCCTCTCTGATCAAAGAATCCAACTCCATTTAGTAGTTTTCTGGAGTGTGTGACAATGACATTTTAGCAGCAAACTGAGCCTGGATAATTTGATAATTCCACTAGTAATTTTAACCTCAGCATAATGGGTCTGTGGATGCAATGCAATCTTCATGTTGTTAAAATACAACCATCTTCCTATGTTGTACTTTTTTTTTACATGTAATTGTCCAGGAAACAAAATTGGATTTGAACAAAGGAACAAGATTTAATCTCACAGTTAGCTGAGAGGTGTGACTATGAATGACGAAGCCCGTGTGGACTTCTGTGGAGAAAAAACACACACAAGTATCTACTGAATTGAGTGAAATCTTAAAAGTTTTGGTAACTGTGCCTGGGATTTGCTATAGAACCTTTCAAATATGGCTGTTTCTCCCACTAACAATAGCAAACTTTAGCAAAATGGGGAGCTTTTCTAGGGTGGAGAACCAATTAAGAACTTTTGTTTTAGGTTTTGATAGATTTCTGAATTGTAAGATTCTTCGATCAGGTATGCCACCATGCATCTTAAACATACTGTGGCATACTGGAAGAACATGTCCTCACTACATACCACATTCTGTGAACTGCATGTATGTAAGCCTATGTACATGTATTACCCCCATGCATCTGCCACTGACCCCTCACTCCATTCATATTCACACCACTCCTCACGCCTCTTACCATGGGCAGGTCTTTTAGGATCTGTATTCCATCTCCAGGACCCATGTGTGCTATGTGGTTAAAATTAGTTGGGTTAGAAATTAATTTATTTCTCATTTCTGGATCTCGTAGCATCTCCCTGTAAGGTAGAACACCTGTTTAGACAGTTTTTCCACGTTTAATCAATATAACTTAAAAAAATTAAGCATACTTTGTTTTATAAAAATAAATATGTAATTAGAGTAACAATATACTAATAGTTAAATTCCTTAGACTGCTTTGCTTTTTAAATTTTAAAAAAGAAGGTCTTAAAATTTAGGGTTTTATTTGTTTAATTGGTTCAGTGCTGGGTGTCAAAGCCAGAGACACACCCTGTATCAAGTTCTGTACCCATTGAGCTCTACCCTGTACCGGAAAGGGTGACTTCACATGCATCAAAGAACCCCTGCTCTACTACTGTGTGTTATATGTGCATATTTTATAATAGATAACATTTTAGAAATGGTTTTAAATATAGTTAAATCTGCTTGCTCATGAAAAATAGAGTTAATCTTTTTTTTTTTTTTTTTTAAAGAAAGGGCCTCCCCTTTAGAGCTCAGGGCATACTGGCCTCAAGCTCAAGGAGACTCTTGCCTTAGGTTCTTGAATGCTAAGATTACAGGCATGGGCCTCCATGCCTGGGTTTTTTACTTCTTAAGGATATGCAATTGCTATATGCACACATGATTTACATTACAGTTACATGTGCCAGGAAGAATTACAACTCATCATAAACATACAGAAATGAGTGAAAATATGGTACTTTGTCCACTGTATTCTCATAACCTTGAAAGTATTAATTAAAATGGCACTGGGGGATGCCACTCATTAGTGTAGGATCCCCCTGCAATAGGAGACTTCTGAACATTACTCATGCTTGGCAAATACTCTGCCAACAAGCTTCCCTGACCCTACAATTTTGGACCACAGCTGAGGAACAAATTTTCAAATACCAAATCTTTCTTCTAAATCGTTTTTAGCTCATCCTCTGGGTGATGGCGGCATGGACAGATGCTGTCGGCATGGACAGATGCTGGCAATACAGATGAATGCTGGGCACAAGTTAACTACATACCTCCTCTGTTGCATCCTCTCCTCCTCTGGGACTCGGAAGGAGTAACGCCGCTTATTGTTGATATTTCTAACCATTTGTTTTCGACTATTATCTGATGTTTCAGGAACTACAAGTTCGTCCCCTTCTGTGAGAAAGAAAATAGTGACACTGTTTAAATTGTTAAAAATTATTTATATTCATTAATTTCTATGACATTACAATCACTTGCATAATATGTACAATTGTGATAATTAAAAGTTCTACATTAAAAATGAGAAATCAAGCAATAATTTTCAGTGAAATTATGTGAAAAAAATATATGCTAAATCAGGAATAGCTTACAAAACACATTCTTACTTTTAATTACAAATATAAGATGCTACATTTTTGCTAGAAGAAAGCTATCATTGTCTTGGTTTCAGGGCTTTGACTAGCCACTTCTCCCCCAGTATCCTCACACTGTTTTCTTTCTCCTGCAGAGAGTGGTTCCAGTCCTCTGGAAGAGCAGTATGCCATCTGAACAGCTGAGCCATCTCTCCAATCCCATTTATTTCACTCTTAAAAACAATGTGCCCCATGCCAATTTCCATAGATTATTTTCTCCCATCTTTACTTTTCTTATTCTGGGGATTCATTCCTATAGTCTTCTTTTCCTCTACCCACACTGTGCAACAGCTGGAGATGGACTTCTGAAGTCCCCAACTGGAGCTGTAGGCAACTGTCCATACCGGCCTACTGACGAGGTTGTACAGTATCACAGGCACTGAAGACTACCCAGCCATATCTTCTTTACTTACTACCAAGTGTTCCACAGGAAAAGAATGCAGGCCAAACACTTTGCTTACACAGCCATACAGGCTTAAACAGGATTGTCTGTTTACAGCTTGTTTTCACTGTCTTACCAGAGTTTGACAGTGGGCATCACACATTCCAGAGTGAGATATGCCTGAGCCAAATTTGGGCTGAGGCATTTCATATCCAAATGCCTTGGACTGATGTAACAGTTCCACTGAATCAATCCTATTAATATATTTTCTTACCTGCCATCTTATTTTTGAAATATATTAATCTAATAGTCTCCAACCCTAACAGATTTAATGATCCTTCAGTGTTTAAAGGTCGGACCTAAAATAATAAAGACAAAGTTAGTATTTCAATACAACCTTTAAAAATTAAATCATAAAAGTTTTAGTCTATTTATTAAGAATACACTATTAAGACTTTTTACTTAAGTAAAAATATAATTCTTTAAAACATCTCAAGTTAATAATTCTTACTAGAAAGGTATATTATTATTTAATTTGAGCAAACTAACTTATCATAATAATAGTTTAAAGAAATTCTATTCTGGGTAAATAAAATCAAGTAGAAAAATATAAACCCTAAAACTGACCACTTAAAAACCCACCAGTGACCAAAATATTAAACTGAGAAATGAACTCTTGTTACTAGACACTGAATGCCTGCACATCTATGGAGATGGAAGTCCTGAGAGGGAAAGGATCGAGGACACAGTGACGGAGGAACCAGCCACATAAATCAATATAGCCAGATCCCTACTTCACACCACATATAAAACTCAGTTCTAAGTGGATTGCAGGCATGCACGTAATAAGAAAAAGTTTATTATTATTTACAGAGAAACATGTGGGAGTCAGAAAGAATAAGTTTGGAAGAAAATAAAGGTTGCGTCTTTATGGTCTTGTAGTAGGAAAGTTTCTTAAGAAGAGAAAAGGGGAAAACCTAAACAACAGGAATACCATCTTCAGTAAAATTAGTAATTTTGTTTAAGAAAATACACCACAAATATGAGCAGATGTCACTAACACAGAAAAGCTGTCCTGTGTGTTAGTAACCCAGGGCCCATGTAAAGAAGTCCAAATAGATTAGGAAGAAAAAAAAATGGCAAATTCAATAACAAGATGAGCAAACATAACCAGGTACTGCCTGCAAGGGAAAGTGTTACTACAGTTAACTGGGACGTACAACCCAGTTCTTTAGTGACACCCTGTTCACTATAATTTACACATTAGGGATAATGTGGCTGAGAAAGAACCATAGAGGATGCTGATGTGACTGTCATTTGTACTAATATTTTGGAAACTAGCATAACACTACTGCATAGGTCCAACAGCTGTAGCCCCTGTGCCTTAGCAGTCCCACTGTGAGGCTGGTGGTGTAAAGAAATGCCTCCATATCTCCAGAGACAGAAGCAGAAATGCTCACAATAGCAAAGAGTTAGCAGTAATTCAAATGCTGCCAACCAGATAATGGACAAACACTAAAGTATTCACCTAAAAGACTATCTTATAGTAGTGAAAAATCAAGAAATTGTATGTAGGACAGACACACAGCAACATGCCTGGATCTTAAAAACACAACAAGTGAGCAAAGACAGCAGAGAAAAAAAGTGATAATTTCAAGTTTAATAAATTGCAAAATAAAGCAAAACTGAGTACTACTTTCCTTAGGAACACTTAAAATTTCCAACTCCCCTATTCTAAGGCAATAACAGGATGAGAATAAGCACAACGTCTGAGACAGCACTTTCCATGAGGAGAGGTGTGGGCCACATGGTGCATGCAGATACAGAGCTTCCAGTGTTACTCAGTTTTCAGGATACACACTTGCATACTACAAAGGTTATATGAAAAAATCAAATAGAAAACTGTAGCCAAACCAAATTTATAAATTTGAGGATATTTTTGTTGGCTTTATATAATGTAGCAATTTTTCTGAGGGTTTATGTGACTAATATGTCTTAAAATTGGGGCATATTTTTGCCAGGGGTGGCACGTGCCTTTAGTAGGAGGCAGAGACAGGCAGATCTCTGTGAGTTCCAGGTCAGTCTGGTCTACAGAGCAAGTTCAGGAAAGTCATGGCTACACAGAGAAATTGTCTTTGATACAGTCATGCCTTAAGATTTATTGTGCACATGGGACTAGTTAAGTACCACCAGGAAATGTTTTTCCAAATTGTGCTATATTTAAATATACCTAAAATAAACTGCACAGTGTCAGACTCTCAAAGTTTGCACCAACACCAGCTACTGAGTTGTGTTGAACCAACTTCCTTCTTGCCTCACACAGACTGACATCCTGCTGGCCTTGGTGGTTGCAGAGACCCCCATAGGAGAGGGAGGGGGAAGAAAAGGGTGTGTGTGTGTGTGGTTCAGGGGCAGTATGCTTAATGTAAAATATATACACTCCTGAAACTGTCCTCGTGTAATACAGTACTATGCACAACCACTATTTGCAATGAAAAATGTAAGCAATTAACCAATTTGGCCCACATTTTAGTATTCCATTACCTTTTTGAGAGGAAGAGTCTGTATCCATTCCATGGAGTTTACATCAAAGATATCAACTGCATTTTCACTATAAACGGAGAGATAAGGTGCATTGTAACCTGGAGAGAGGAAGGAAGTTACAGCCTGCTGATTATTGTGAACTATTAAGCCCCAAACACTATCCTAAGCAACTGTAGAGTGGAATCTTTTAAAAACCCAACAGTTATTACATAAGAATGACATTAAAAACAGTTTTTGAAGTGAGAACATAAATCAAGAAGGAAGAACTGATAGGCCATAGCTCAGATTATAAGACTAATACAGAAAGAGTCAATGAACACACCTTGTCCAATAAGAAATTGCATTGCATTTTAAAGTACTGGACTTTTAAAGCAGTTAAGCTGTTGACTGTTCTGGTTTAGAAAGGTAAAGTAAGATATGAATGACAAGTAGCCCCAGCACAGTTCTGCTACAGACACTGAGGTGCAACTGTGTGACAAGAACAGATCCTCAATACACATTTGTGGAAGGAATGCAATATATGGTTTACTCAAACCACAGTTCATGACTGAATCACACCTAGAAATGTGTTAGCCGACAGTGACTTCACATTAGAACACTCAGGATTATCTGACAGCTACAAAACAGCATTCATTTTCCCATTCTGTCACTGATAAAAATGTTCATTTCAGAAGAAATAAAACATTATAAACAGTTAAATCTGGTTGAGTAGGAGTTAGAAGCTTTTGCTCGTTCTTCTGAAATAAGGACTCACTATTCTGAGACATGCTTTCTCATCTGACACATGGGGTTGGTTGGGCAGGTCCTCTATCTTTCCTACTGTAGGGGAGGGACCCCTGCCTCCTGCCCCAGCAATTGTTTTAATAGACTTCTGAATTCTACCCTCGTTGGGCCCTTTTGGGGCATCTTATTCTATTTTCTGTGTTTCCCAAATAGTCTAATTCTCTAGTGGCTTTTCCCTCTCAGCATGTAAACAGGCTTAAGAAGCTTCCACTACAAACAAAGCAATCTGGGCCAAACACTCTCCCCTGAATGCACCTATAACACAGCATTCAGGACCCCCCCACACTCTGTGAGGGAAGATGGCACTCATACCTTTATCTCATATAGTAAAATAATATGTACTTAATAGTGATTATTATGCAGTGATAAAAGTATTGAATGACATATCAATATTTTATGGAATGAATAAAATAAGTAAATTTAAATCAACTCCTTATAAAGGCCACATTACATCTTCAAAGAACTGATTAAACAATCATTTAGTAACTTCTCCAGCATAAGTCTTATGAGCTACTGTTATATAAGTATAGTATATTTAGGGGGACACTGAAGAGAAAGATTTTGAATTTTTTTTTTTTTAAATATAACAACATGGAGACAAGAAAATGTGTCTCAGTTAGTTTTCCATAGAAAGATTAGATCTACTTCAAGAATTTAATGTTCACTCTGTTTGTCACCATAATTAGTACTTGAGAATGACCTTGAGAATGATTAAAAAACAAGCCGTTAGTAAAAATGATTATATTTAAAATAAATAAAAAGGCAAAAAGAAAAGAAGATAGACAAAAAAAAAGAGAATCTTACAACAAGAGGAAGGGTTTGCTGGCCACATCAATTCTTGCTGCCTAGATCTTCGGCCCTGGCAGTCCGTGTATATCCCAATGCTGTTAAAACACAGCAAATACTCTTTGTTGGAGATCTCAACTGCACAGATAGCATCCATTGGTTGATGTGCAATGAATGATAGTGTGTGGTCATTTGAATGGAGCATATTGCATGGACTTCCTTCTCCATTCAAGGGATATCTGAGAAATCCTGACTGGAATCCTACACAGAGCTGCTCACTGAAGATGGCCATCCACTGGACGTTACATGGGACTTGAATTTCTTTAAATTTCCTGTGCCGGGTCTTGCTCTGGAACAGCTCATAGCAGAGGACCTGTCTTTTCATAGCCACACACAGGCAGGACAGAGCTCCATGGCGCACTTTCCCAGCAGTTATGGTTTGACACCCTTTAGTTTCTGCCAGCTTATAAAAATCTGTCTCTCGCCCGTCCAAGGCTGACATAGGAAAAAGTCGGACATGGCGATTTCGGCCTGAGATCACAGCAACAAGCTGGTCACTTGGAATGAGTTCAATCTGATGAATTTTCTTATTGTCACCAACTCTAATAATCTCTACAGGAAGAAATAACATTAAATGCAAAACAGTTGTATTGATTGTATCCAAATAAACACCAAAGTAGATAGCCCAACCCATACTGAAGACACATACACACAAAAGTATCAAAGGTCAGAAATCACAGAGAAGACAAGGAGGATAATTAAACCCATTATCAGATCACTTAACCCACAGACAGCTGATAGCTGGTATTAAGTGCAGCACCAAGATCTTGTCAGCAAGGAGGCCAGTGTAAAGCATGCTGATGCTTTGTGGGACTAAATCCTAGGAACTTCACCATGGAGTTCCTAGTTTCAAAATCCAAGTAACTGCAACTCATGTCTCTGGGTATTTCTTTTTAAAGATTTATTCTATGTATGTGGGTATTCTGCCTACATGTATGTCTGTGCCTCACTTGCATACCCGTGTCCACGGAAGCTAGAATGGATCATATATCCTGGAATGTAAGTTACAGATGGTGTAGGCCACCATGTGGGTGCTGGGAAATGAACCCCTGGGTCTTAGCTGCTGAGCCATCTGTCTAGCTCCACCTCTTCAGTGGTTCTTTGTGTGTACATATGGCCACGTATGCACACACAAGCATGAACCACCAGAAATCAGCCTAGGCTGTTCTTTCTCCGGAGCTGTCTGCCTTGAGCTTTAAATTGTGGATGTGTGTGGGTGTGTGTCACAGCATGGGTTTGGTGGTCAGAGGACAACTTTGTGAAGTGAGTTTTCTTCTACCTTTATACAGGATCCAGGGATCAAACACAGGTTACCAGGCTTGCATGGCACCTTTATCTGCTGAGTCATCTTGCCCACACCCACCTTTGTTTACTTAGTCAGGTTCTCTCACTGGGACCTGGGATTGACAACTAGGCCAGGCTGGCTGGCCAGTGACTACCAGGAGTCCTTCTGTTTTTGCCTTCTCAGTGCTAGGATCACAAGGCACACTGCCATGCCCAGCTTTTTATGTGGCTCTGGGAGAGCAGTGCTTACACAGCAAGCACTTACCAACCGAAGCATCTTCCTAACACTTCTCAAGGCATTTCTATGGCCTTGAGAATCAAACTCAAGTGACCTGCTTTCTCAGGCTCTAACCTGATATAAAGACAGAACTTAAAATGCTATGTTTATGAAAAAACAAATTCAATTGGTTTTGCTTTATTTCACTCAGCACTTTATTTACCCCTAGGGCACTAAAAACCTGTTGTACTGAACCACAAAGGATTTTAGACATTATCTCTTAAAGCAATACTAAGAATGAGAAAAGTAATTTGTAGTTTTCTATGCCATCTTTAGACACAGATCGAACTGTTGGTAAAACAGGTGAGGGCTAACAGAACTGAAATCCTCTTGAGTTAAAGCTGGTGTGGTGACATACACCTTTAATCCCAGGAGGAAGAAGCAGGCAGATCTGTGAGTTCGGCCAGGCTGCTCTATATACTGATTTCTAGGACAGCCAGAGTTATGCAGTGAAACCCTGTTTCAAAAAACCAAAAAAGAAAAAAAAATTCTTTTGATTTAAAAATATATAAAACTATATCTGGAGAATCTTAGTAACACAATCCTGTTCTTAGACTTCAGGTTTGAGAGTTTTATATCATTGAAAATTACTTCAGAATAACTGGGGTTTCTCTTACCATCTTTGGTGACATGCACAACAAATAATCCTTCTTCATTTCCCAAAGCTATCCTTTCATGATCTATTTAAGACACAAACATAAAACATTCTCATCAGATAAAAATCATGTAAAGGTAACAGAACAAGATAATGAGAAAATTTGGTATTAGAGGGAAGATAAATAAAAAAAAATCAAAATATACCATTCATACTTTCCCTTAGATTGTAGTGTTAAATATGTCATGCGTTTAAAAACAGGACAATCAGCTAAAAGTCCGCTTTAGTATTGAAGGAAATGCTTATTCAGTAATGAGAAAACTAAAAGCCTGGTTTGTGAGTATCACAGACATTATCCATTCTAGAGACACTGTGAAAGGTGTTTGAATCCTGCTCAGTAGACTTTTCATGTTTTCTAGATAGCAACAGAAGTGAGGTATGTGTATATAAGAACAGAGCAAAAAGGTAAACTTCCGCATAAAGAAGCTGCTATTTGCTGGTGACATGCTACATATTCTATGACTTCAAAACACTTCAATAACATTCATTACACATGAAACTCACACTCCAAGATTTAACTTATTTCAATGCACAAAAGTAGAAGAAAAAGGTTAGCAGGTTGCCTTTTCACACTAGTGCTTTTTAGGCAGGTAATATGAGTGCTAAAAGACAGATCTGACACAGGGCTCATCATCCCAGAAACATCTGACGTACACCAGCCACTGTGTAAACAGTGGTGTCAGCTCAAAATGCAATGTAGTATACAGTAATGATAATATGACGGCTGTTATAAATACATACCTATGATTGCAGCTGCCTGCGTTGTCTTAATGAGGGGCAGAGTGCTGTCATAAGCCTCTTTGGGAACATACACTGAGCGATCTCTGAATTTGTTTTTCTTCAAAATCTTGTGTAGTTCATTCAGCACTCCCACCCACTTACTCTTCTCATTCTCACTGTCTGCCAGCATCAGGATGGAACATTTGTTACTAGGTGCTGAGAGCTGGGAAGCTGTGACCTAAAACAATTTAATATTCAAAACATTAGAAAACAGGCATCTTTTATGCTAGCTTCAGAGTTATGCTCATTTGTTTAGAACTCGCAGTAAAGCAAGCATTTATTAAATTATCCCTTTAGGAAACTTTAGCTATGCTGAATTAGAGTATCTCACTGTAATGCTGTAATACAAACAACAGGAGGTGACACAAGTCGAAATGTTACTACCATTCATGCTTTGTTACAAAATGCCATAAAATACCATAAAATGCATTACACATACTAATTTAACAAGTGACACTTAAAATTATCAAGTATCAGAAAGAAAAGCACTTTACAAGTATTAACTCATCATGTGACAGGGGAGCTATGATGATATACTAATTTTAAATATAAAAATCCATGATAAAGAGAAAGTGAGTAACTTCTCAAGGGCAAGATGCTAAAGCATGCTTCTATGCTCTAAACACTACACCATACTGTTCTGAAAGTCTCTTGTACTTCCTAGAAAGCCTTCAGATTATCACTAAAGATCAGATCACTATAAACAGTAAGTAAATGAAGGTTTACAAGTCAATCAGAGCACCATTAAAGTGTGTGTGTGTGCATGTGCAGAGGCCCTTTATATGTTTATATATGCCCTTAACACTAAAATCCTACTGCAAATCAGTTAGAGGTAAGTGAAACTTTACAGACTCCCTTGGGAGCTAGGGGAGAATAAATAAATAGCTGTTGGCCTGGACTTTGATCTTCCTTAGATATAAGATTCATAGACAACTAGGAAGTAGGACAGATGTAACAATAGAACAGCTTTACAACTCAGTATTGTTTACTTCACCAATATGGCTGTTAGCTATTATCTGTATGAGAGAGACACAGAGAGAGGTGAGGGGAGGGAGGGGGAGAGAGAGAGGGAGAGGGAGGGAGAAACCACATGAATATAAACAGGAGAATTGAAGTGAGACTGGCCAGCTGACAGAACATTAATTAGATGTTTCTGTCCCAAATAACCTAGTATCAGTCAATACCAAAGAACAGTGGAAAATGAACACTCCCAAAGTTTTGGAGTATTTGTTATAAACAGTTGTTATGAAACAATTTTAAAAATGAGTTTTACAGAGGCAAATGTTTTTAAGTTTTAAACCTCATGTGATAATATTTATTTGAAGATTGAACTGGGACTCAAAAACATGGAACATGTAGCATACTTTGGAAACATACTTTTGCATTCTACAAGTCTTAGCTCAATTTTGTATTCATGTAAATAGTGGATCATATGGATGCATATGGATACATAAAGAGTACTAGGTCTAGGTCTTATCCTAGTAACTTTATGATTTATACAGAGTAGCAAAACCTACTCATTAAAAACAAGAAATTAGGCACTGGCTTGGTGGGTTCTGGCTCGGTGGATAAAAAACTTGCTGCACTAACCTGAGGATCAGAGTTTGGATCTCCAGAACCCAGGTAAAAGTTGTATATGTTTGTCTGTTATTCCAGTGCTCCAGAGGTGGTCACTGGGACTGCTTGGGCAAGCTGGCTAGCTAGACTAGCTAATGCTGCGAGCTGCAGTTCAGTGAGACTGTCTCATCAGATAAAGAGAGCAATCAAGGAAGCTATCTGACATCAATCTCTGGTCTTCACACAAACACATATGTATACCATACACAATGTTCATGTAAAAAGTCAAGTAATTAAGTCCTCAAATCACACATGACTTACCCTAAATATACAGGGAATATCTTTCCGACTTGCGTGGATAACATCAGAAGCCAGGACTGAACTCACAGAAAATTCTTCATCTCTGAAATAAAGGTTAAACATGTATTCCATGTTGCCGTATGCATATGGTTTTGTTTATACACTCAAATAACATATATGAAGCAATCCTTAAAGAGTAACCATATGAACACCCAAGCCCAATTTAAAAAGAAACAAAACACAAGATTTCCCCATATAGTGACTAACAGTACTCAAGGTAATCCATCAGGAGTCACCCAGCACTTTACACTACATATAACTGCTGACTCATGAAGACACACAAGGCCAAGAAGCACACAGGCAGAAGGGGCTTTTGTTAGCCCAGAGTTCCCAATGAACTCTCTTGCCTGCCATAATAAATCTCAAGTGTATTGTGACTTCAGCACCTAAAACTGATTTACTCCTCTGTCCTGTCCTTCGTCATCAGTAGCATCATTCCCCCTGACTTAAAGTCCTGACACTGTCTCATCTTTGTTTTAAGAGTTTTGCTGTTGTTCATGTATCCTTAACCGTGTGGGCAAAGGAGCTCCCTTTGCCTAGGCCCTCCATCTTTTCATTCAGTTCATTAGCAGGTCTGCCAGTCTCTTGCTGATACCACTTGTACCAATCCCTCCATATTTCACTGTGTTTCAGACACCAGTAGGCACAGCTGGAAATGTGCATTTTTGAGCAATGGGTATGTCTGAATTAGAGACATGTGTGGGATCCATCAATTGGGAGTAATGGCTGAAGCAGTAGGAGAAAGGGATGAGATGCTCAGGGGTGCATGCAGAGTCTGGAAATGGAGCTAGAGAAACACAGATTCTTAACGGTTTGCTACTTCAGTGTGAGGTGTCATCCCTCTGCTTTCAGGGAGTCACTCTGCACTTCCAGATGATGGCTGGCGAGCATGTATTCAGACCTTTAAACTGGTCTTTCAGAGCCAAAGTTGGCTTATACCTCCACACAGTCAAACCTTAGACCACCTGCCCTAGAACCACCTCTAGCTTCCTCCTTTCTAGTATGTCACAGTAGCCATAGGACTAAATCCAAAAACTGACCCAAAATTAGGTTATTTAATGCAATGCATGTAATATAAAAGAAGGTTCGTAAGCCTTACTTCCTATGCTGCAATTCACATACATCTTCGTCTCTCAGGGCTTACCTCATGTCAATCACTTGACTGATGATGGAACTGGGTTGAGATGTTTTTCCTTCTGCGATATCGTAGAGAAACAGTTTGAAGTCACAGACCACGGCCAGTGCTCTCTGCCATCCTTTCTTCACTCCCGCTGGCTTAGGGATCTTAATTGGTTTCAGTCAGATGAACAAACAAACAGAACTCAAATGAAAATGACAGTGAGAGCCTCTAGTTCCATGTGAACTGCAGATGACACCTAAAGCAGTGCAGTGCTCTAGGTCTGCTTTTTACTTGATAAGGCAGCAAGTGGACATGATGCCATTAGTAAGGGGGCAGTGAGAACACACTCTTCAGACCCTCGATGGTTTTGTAAGCTTTAAATGGTATCATTTCAGACTGACTCGTGGCTTTTTAGAGAAATAGCATAAAAGGCAAATTTGGATGTAAGATGAAACTGACATTCAGCTGCCGTTGTAATTGTACCCAGGATGGTAAGCTTATGTCTTGATATTTCTTAACCTCAACCGCAATCTACCTCTCAGGCAAGACCAGAGGCCCAATGCTCCATTATGAGTTTGAGACTTGGAAACCTCAAGGTACAGAGAGTACAGAAAATTCTGAGATATTTCCAAGTAATTATGACCCTAGGTAAAATACTATTTAAATGAGTTTGATTTATTACATTTTCTGCCAAGTGCTGTGCTTACTGAGTGAATAAACAGAGGTACTCACCCTGACATGGCCCTCATACGCTGTCCCCACTCCCTTCTGTGGGTCTATACCAAGTGGACCTTTAGTCTGCTCAGGAGGAACCGGACAAGCAGTTGGAGCTTTGTTCACACACGTTATATGACATGAGAACCCACACACTTTGAGGGAAAAAGGACATAATTTAGATAAACAAACACAAAATTCACTGGGCACACACTAACTGCATCCATGGTGCTAGTTAGACGAATGCTTATTTTCTGCTTTATTTTAAACAATCATTTTATCACTAGGGAAAAAGATGCAGTTGCTTGTCAGTCAGAAATTCATTGAGAAGTAATAAATGCTTTTATTATTTATATTATTATTCTCTTATTAGTGACCAAACTGAGAAGCAAATGAATAAAAGACAGAGCAATCACAAATCACAACCTTGTAAATAACATGGATGATTTAAATTTATAATTCTTACCAAAGTGATTTCTGAAAGTTTTTTTCTAGCTCTTTATCCAATTGCAACTCATTATCAGCCCTTAAATTCTCTTGTAAGAGTTATTAACATCCAGCTACTTGATGTCTATTAGCACTGTTGAATTAACTCATTAATTTGTGTGTTATGCATGCATGTTTATATGTTTGCATGTGTGTGAGTACATGTTCACATGTGTGTGAGGATGTGAAGACCAAGGCTGTCAGGCATCTTCTTCCATCTGTCACTCTCCAGTTCATTTTCAGAGGCTAGGTCTCTCACTGAATGTGGAGTTCAACGCTTCAGCTGGTCCAGCACCCTCAAGGGTCTCCTGTTTCTACCTCCTGAGGGCTTGGATTACAGGTGGGCAACCTGGCACGTGTTCTGGAGACCCAACCTTTAGTCCTTATGCTCCTGTGGTAATAAGTACCTTTTTCACTAAGCCATTTCCCCAGGCCCAATATCTGGAAACTTCTACTGATAGTTTGAAAACAAGTGTTTCAATGACTATAATGGTATAAAGGAATGCTTGGAGTTGTGTTCCCGATGCTTTCATTAACAGATGGTTAACTTCAGTGAGCATTTTCTATCATCTGTTACATGCCGATCGCTCAGAGTCACAGAGCTGCTGTCAGCAGTGAGGCATTCAAACCCATCAGTCTGCTTAGAACCCTTATAAGCAGTTGGCAGTACTGTTACAAAGCCAAGAAGTTGTACTTTCCTTCCTGTTGTTCTTACCTTCACAGGAACAGCCCTGTCTTATCAAACCAACCATCAACGACGTACACTGATGGCACTTTGTCGGGGCAGTGAAAGACTTCACAAAAAACTGATGAGTCTTGCGCTGCAAAATAATTGACAGAAGAGTTAATCCTTCCACTTCTTACCTCACAGCCACAGGGAACTGCAGGCACTTCTCACATACCAGAGACAAACCTCAAGCACACTGCACACATAACTTTTAGTATTTCTGATTGCTTTTGATTTGTCACTGACTCTTATTTTACAAATGTTGGCTCTTTATTCTAGTCTGCTAGTCATCTTTGAGTCCTTTCTACCTCTTTCCTCTGTTGCTGACTGACATGAAATTCTTTTGCATCTCTAAGTCCTTGTCTAATCTTGAATTTCTTGGAGTTTACTTTGTATTACTGAGATATCTCCTTTTAATTCTGGCTTTCGCCTGCATTTCTCCCATCTTTAAAAATACTATTATTATTCTGGAGGCAGGAGTGTGGATGCAGGTACCACAGGACTTGTGACTGTCAGAGGACAACTTTCCAAAGCCAGATCTTTCCTTGCATACTGCTGAGGCAGCATGTCCTGCTGTTTTTCTTGCTATACCGTGTCCTCCAGGCTAGCTGGCCCTCCAGCTTTCAGGAGACCCTCCAGGTCAGACTGTCCTTCCTCTCTGGCACTACAGATGTGTACCACGGCACCTGGCTCTTCACATAGCCTCCAAGGGGAGCTCAGGTTGCACAGCCAGCATGTCCACCACACGGGCCACAGCTCTGGCCTGACATCTCCAATTAGTTATGTAAATTTCTATCAATTAAATAAATCATTTTTTTGGAAACATTTAGACAGTTTGAGCATGTTTTAAGTGTTTTCTTGCATCCTCTGCTGAAGCTTTCCCTCTAATTTGAAGAAATTTTAGGTCATTATTTCTTTAAAAATATACTTTGTGTTTGCGTATCACTGTACATGCCAAGTATACAAAGTTGCCTTTGAAGTCAGAAGAGGGATCAGGTCCCCTGAGGGGGAGTTACAGGCAGTTGTGAGCTGCCTGATACAGGTGCTGAGAACAGAAGTCTGGACCTCAGGAAAACAGCAAGAGTTCTTCACCACAGAGCGCCTGACATTCCAGAGCCTGTTTCTGTCATCTGCCTCCTTCCCACTGAAAGTCATGTAATGTAAATGTTGACACCATTCCTGTCACATTCCTTAACTTTCAGATTTTTCATCTCACTTCCTAGCTGGCTTATTTTTCTATTATACCTATTCCTCCCACTCTATTATTAAAGCTCTTTATGGACGTCAGCAGTTATATTCTGTCAAATTCTAGATTATTATTTCTTATTACTGCTTTATCCTATCTGCCATTACTCATCTCTGTAAGGATATAATGTTTATTTTAAATTTGTATCATGTCTGGTCTCATTATGTCATGGTATGTGGCTATTGTGGTTATTCTTCTTTTTTTTTTTTAGCAGATGTTCTTTTCATATTTTGATTTTTTTTCCTGTCAGCCCTGGTGGTCCTAAGCTTGCTTTGTAGGCTGTCCTCAAGTGCTGGGATTAAAAGTGTGTGCCACCACTGCCAGCTCTTTTCATACTTTTTAAAATTCATTTTCAGAGCCACTGATCTCATCCATCTGTGACTTAGTCCTAGTTTATGTTCTGGGGAGGAAGATCACTGGTCTTCCAGTTTCTAGAATTTTTTTGCATAGGCTTAGACAAGGAGCTCAGTCATGTCTTGCCATATGCCATGCCCTGGCCATAGTGTGTGTGTGTGTGTATGTGTGTGTGTCTAGATCCACCTACACTTGTTACTGAGCACTTCTCTTCCTTAGCATGTGATAATACTTTTATCAGGTGACAAAATAAGGGTTCCTCTAATAGTCTTTGAAACACAGAATTTAAGAATGAAATATACTGTACACCTCTCCCAACATTCAGAATTGTATTTACATCATCCAATTCAATTTCTTCCCAAGTTTTTTATTTTATAGCTTTGAGGAAATCAGTGACAAACCTAACAGCCAACACCCTAAGTAGAAGAAATGCACTCTCATCTTTTGGAAGACACTAAGTTTAGATCAAATACCTTAGGTGGAAAGCCAGTTGAAGCAGGACAACCCTTTTTCTTTAAGGTGGGCGTGTGAACTGGAAGTGGAGCACAGTCTGCAATCTGAATCCCAGGCAAAAGAGGAAATGAATGGCATGAAAAACTCATTTTACTTAGAGAATAACTACAAAGAGACCAGAGTAACTAAACCAAACAATGTCAACAATGCTAAGGAGACAACTGCCTCACCTCTCTGAGGTTCAAGTTTCTACAGACTGTACTTCAAGTCTGAGCTCACAATACTTACAAATGAAGTATTTTCTCAATCATTTCAATTTGGGAATTTAAAGAGAAATAAATTAGAAAATAAAATCCACAGAGAAAATAAAAATCATAGCATGTAACTTACACAAAAGTGAAGATATTTTCATATTCATTCGAATTTGTCACATTGATCCTTGAAAGTTTTAGCAAGATTGATGATATGACTATTTAGAAGATTAATTTTTAAACAACTTTTTACTGTATGTAAGTTCCTGTGTGTGTGTGTGTGTGTGTGTGTGTGTGTGTTGTGTGTATGTGTGTGCGTGCACACATGTGTGCATGATGTATATGTGTGAGTTTGGTGAGTGTGCATATGTGGGGGGTCAGAGAACAGCTTTGTGAAGTCATTTCTTTCCTCCTAACTCTACGTGTGCTCTCCATAGATGAAGCTCAGGTTTGCCCAACAAGTGCAGTCAGTACTTGCTGAGCCATCTCACTAGTTCTAGAAGATTCTTTTTAACTATGTGATTTCATATTTAGAATATATATTATATATATGGAATATAATCACACAGATTTGAATACATGGAGGTTAGTGAGATTTTTACACAGAAATTAATTTTAAATAAAGGAGTTAAAATTATTTAATATTATTGGCACTATGAATTTAACTCAAGTTTAGTTATAAACCATATCTTTACTATAAGTAGGATGAAGTCTACTTTAGTAAGTATTGTATATTTTTTTGAATAAAAATAACTAGTGATTTTAATGGATGTTATTGTGGGGGAAGAGGCCACATGGCTTTATTGGCAAAGTAAAAAAACAAAACAAAACAAAAAACAACAAAAGACAGTAACATCTTTATAGGGTGCCAAGCAAGCACACAGGAAAACCAGCTATCACAGAATATTAAAATATTAAGAGAGAGTTGGGTAGTCCTCTGCTTCTAACAATAACCACTAAAACAAATCTTACATAAACTATAATCCTGATATGGCTTTGATGAATGTATCAATGTTTTATGAATTGTGAGCTTATATTCAATTTAAATCCTGTTTACTTTGGAATGGCTTGAAAAAATATTGAGCCCAACCTGTAATTTAACATTTGAGAAGATAAATATAAAAGGTGAAAAGAAACACTGAAAAAAAATCTGTGCAAAAGATATAAAACACAATAGCAAACAAAATCATCATTAGAGTTCTACAGAACATTCTAGAGAAGTTATTAAAATTAAAGACCCGGGAAAGGTGCTGCATAAAAGATCAACAGTGCCTGATAAAAACTGCATTTGATTGGATCTCACACAGCAACACAAAATTCAGGGCACCAGAACAAATCAGCAAGCAACATGGAACACACTGAAGGCAATGACCTCTACTGAAGAATGAAAAGAAATAACTAGTGTGCATACCATGTTCATACATGGAAATGCCCAATGTCATGAAGATGTCAACTTTTCTCATGTAAATCTATAAAGTCAGTGTAATTCTAATAGAATGACTCTTGAGAAATGTGAGATCAGAGCAAGAAGAAGCAAAGGTACAGAAAAGCCACAGTGGACCAGACCCACACATGGAAAGTGGAGAAACCGCAGAGGAGTGAGATACAGGAGGCTCAGACGTGGCAAAAATATCAGAATCCATTTCCCACTCCACGTAGCATTCAGTTTGTGTAAAGTCTTAAATAAAGGCAGTAATTTTAAACTTTAGAAGAAAACATGGAAGAAAAGCAGTATTTTCATGAAGAAAAACTACTTTAAAAACTACAAATTCAGAAATTGTAAATGAAATGACTGAAAAGCTGGCCAAAGGTTCTGAAAACCAAAAAATTAACAAAAATTTAAAAGTTATCCTTAGAATGGGAGAAAATGCTTGCAACCAGTATGCCCAGCAAGGAACTCATCCAGGCTTAAAAAAAGAACATTAAAAAAAAAAAAAAAAAAAAAAAACCAATGGAACAAATGGACATCAACAGCAATAAACACATAAAAACGCTAAGCACAATTAAAAAAGGGAGAAAATCAAGTTAATACAAAAAAAATTCTGCTTCATACCCATCCAACTGGCAAAAGCTAGTATCTGATTGTACCAAGGGTTGGCAAGGAATGTAGGAAAATTGTGGGAGGGGGGCTCTCATGTGCTGCTGGGAGAAATGAAAACAGATCCAAACACTGTGAAAAACATTTGGGACCATCAAGTTAAAGTTTATATAACATACAGTTAGTTTGCACCCAAACTGCCCATCTGCAAAAGTGAAAAAACTAAGATCCCCCCCAGGACCAATTTTAGTAATAAAGGGCTGGAAGCAATGTAAGTATCCCACAACATAAGAATATTTATACATGGTGAGAGCAGTGCATTTCATTACACTAGTTATTGTTACCATTGTTTTGCAAAGCTCTAAATCACAGCTGATTGAGTGCCAAAAAACAAAATAAAACAAACAAACAAACAAAAAAACCCAAAAAAAAAAAAAAAAAAAAAAAAAAAAAAAAAAAGGGGGGAAAGAGATGTGTTCCAGATCCAGGCCAATCCACACAGAGATGATGCCACCATGTCTCTCTTCCTGGTGGTGACCTTTGGCTTAAAGTTTATATAGCAGATACAATGAATGAACTAAATGCACATTTTCCCAACCAGAAAGTCAAATGGTCTTTGGGGAGAAAACTCACCAATGGGCTGCTCAACGTAACTGACTGAGTGAACTATTTAGATAACACTGTGTTTCTGATTATTGGAAAGGACTTAGTTGCGTGAGTACCTATGGCTGACTGAACAGTTAGAATAAACTATCTAGATACCACAGTTGTTCAGTTGTAACAATTTCATTTTAAAGCCGAGAGTCTATGATGCAATGAATTAGTTACGCCCTGGCTTATTAAACTGATTAGAAGAATTAAAACACATGAATCAAGAATGGCACTTTCAATGCCATGTGCTTAGTTTGTATCTAATAATGCCGACAATTCCATAAAATTTGAATGTAATGTTTATACAACATATCTCTACATCTCTAACTAAAGGCTAGCTACCTACCTACCTACCCATTTTTGCTTATTTCAGGTGAATGTGAGTGGGATTTTCTATCTTTCTACATTATCAAAATGTAATGATGTCTAATGAATTTTAACTTATTACACAATGTACTTGATTAGACAGATTTCACTTAAAATTTTCAAATCCCTTTCCTGAATACAAGTGTATAGTTGTGGAGCAACACTGCCCATGAGAGGCATCTTAACCGGCTCAGCCTCACTAGATGTGGAAGGAGATGTGGACCTTGACTGGATGTAAAATTTGATGCTCGGGTTTCACACATAAATGTTGTCAACAGGATAAAGTCTAGGAAAATAAAACAATCCAAGAAATCATGTTTTAATAACATGTAACACTTAAGGCATGGCCATGACAACAATTCCTCAAGGAAGACAAAACAAAATTCAAGTTTGAATATTCACATTAGGGATGACATTATGCAAAAGCATAAGTTTTACTACAAACAAGCAATTAAAAAAAATATGGAGGACTGCTATAATTTGGCAACTGTATGGGAGTTATAGGCAAGTTGTGGCAAACATTAGGAGTTTCTTTCTATAGGTAGTGGGTACAAGCAGGCATTCAAATAATTCCTGAATAAGTAACCAAAACTCTGGCCCCAAGCTTGCTGTTCATCTCCTACCATGAATACTAGCTTTCACTGTATATTATCTGTAAAACTTTTGTATTTTACATACAAAAAATCATGCATGTGAAATGTTGTAGATTAGACATAATGTTGTCCTAGACATTGAAAGAAAAAAGAATTTAACATTAGCTTTGTGCTTATCACTAATATCAAACTTTTAATTTTACAGCAGTAGAAATATTATATACAGATACACCCTTTAAAGCTAACTACTCTTAGAAACTGAAAATATTTTGGGTTAAAAGCATGAAATATACTTATAGATAACTTGTTCAGTCTGGTAATTTTCAAAATTATTAAGATTGAGTTTAAAGAAGATAAGTATGAAAGATTGGGTAATTTGTTTTGAATATAGCATATTTAAAAAGATAATGTTCTAACAAAAAGATTTAACTATTTTCTATTGTTGTATCTATGGTTACTCTTGGGGAGGGGACATGAAAGCAGACAATGTACCCCTTTTAAATGGCAACTTATGTAGTATTTACAGCCATGAGAATATATATTAACACTACTGACTGCAACCCTGATTAAAATCATAAAGACTCTTCTGTGTGAAACTAAGTGAACAAATAAAACCTCTTAAAACCCTGGGTTGAATGGTTAAGTGACCAGGAATAGAGATCGGAAACACTTTCCCAGGCTAACTTTCCAGCTCCCCTTTATGCTGATCAGGACTCCGGGCAAGTGGCTTCTATGTCTAAGAACACAAATCATTTTCTCAATTCAAGGCTGTTTTCTCATGTACAGTTAGAATACTGTGGTGGACAGTTTTAAAAATCAACTTGCTACAACTTAAAGTCATCAGGGATAAGAGCCTCAATGAGAAATTATCTAGATCAGGTTGGTCTGTGGGCATATTAGTTAGATCTGTTTGTTAACTGATATAGGAAGACTTAGCCCACAATGGGCAGCACCATTCCCTAGGAAGGGTGTCCTGACTATGTAAGACAGAAATAAGCTAGATGAGAGCAAGCAGGCATAATGAGTTCACTATTTCTCTCTATCTTGACTATGGATGTGGTGTGACCAGCTTTGTTACTTCACTACAATAATGGACGAGAATTTGAGCCAACTAAATACTTTCTCATATTGCTTTTGATCAGGGTTTTTTCTTTGTTTTTTTAAATCACAAAACAGAAATGAAACCAGAACAAATACTGTTATGGAGGTGTGATATATTGCTCATGTAGAACAGTCAACTTTTGCTCAATATGGAGAACTGTTATAGTCTGGCAACTTTGCAAGAATCAAAGAATTACAGACTAGTAGTGGCAAACACCAGGGCCCTCTATGGGGACTCAGAAAGGCCTTTTAGGGTGGTGGGCATGAGATAAAGTTTGGTGAGAAAAATCAACACAATCTTTCATTTTTAGATTTTAAAAACTGGAACTACTGAGGGACACTAACTACAAATGTATGTGTGGCAAAGATGACTCCACATATTGGTTTGCTTTGGGAAGCTGCAAGTGAGGCCAGAACCCCACCTACTCAAAGCACAGCCAGCCCTCTATGTTCCACCAAGGTGCCACCACAGTAGAAGCATTCAAAGCAATGCGGATCATAGAGGCCGAGCTAAATTTTCAACAGTGAATATTAAAGAGGAGGAGAGTAAAAGAGTAAAATAAGACCCCAGACAATTTGACCAGTTCACAACTTTGTTTGGGGACAGTTAAGGTAATCAGATCAAACTATTAGCTGCATAAATCAGGGAGGTTCCTCCCTTCCTAAAGCCCTCCCCTTTCTAATGTCTATATAATTATATAAATTACAAGGTGAATAAACAGCCCTGGAATATTTTACAATATGAACTTAAAACTGACTCAATCACTTAAGCTTTTATGGAGTGTCCAAGTGGAAGTGTAGTGAGATAGTCCTTCTGTAGCACTGACCACGCCCATTGGGGGGTGGAGCCATGGGTGGAAGTGACCTGTGGAAGGAGGTCGGAGGGGGCCAGGAAGGCGCTCTCTTTCTGGCGTGACTCGGACAGGAGAGGGTCGGGTTGAATTTCCTGGTGTTCATCTGTCTAGGTTGTAAGTTATTTCTCCCTGAATAAACATCTATTCGGCCTATTTGTTTATCCTGATCCTTATTTACCGCAATATGGAAGTTTTGTTATACATTAAAAACTGCTATTTTAAGAATAATCTAAATTTTTTTCAGCTATCAGGAAAGGCTGGAGTCCTAATGCTCGGTAAAAGACAGATAATCCTGGGTAGAAGACAAATTTGAGGATAAGAACAAATCTCTAGGTCTTGCAACTTCAGTATCTCTAAAACCAAAGGCAGAAAGCTTGCTGTCTTCCATCAATATTGACTCAAAGTTCATAGCAGGACTACTCCTGAGCCATGAGAATGTGAGCTAACAGAGATGAGTGTGAGCAGTGCTCAAATCAGAACATGCAATTGCACCACTTTCTCTGTATGTGGGTGAACAGGCGCTCACAGAATTGATAGCCTAATTAGGACAGTCTATGTCTCAGGAAGCAAAACAGAACTAGGTGCTGACATTTACCAGCGAGTTTTGTGATCCCATGACAATGTGCCACGGTAGTAAGACACTAGAGGAAGAAAATGACCCATTATCAATTTAACTTGTAGTTGCTTACTCAACTCTCGAACCCTTTATTCTTTTGAAGAATCTGTCATGTATTAGTCTTTTCCATGATCAATTTTCACTAATAGTCACAATGAAAGAGAACAAAAATGAGGAAATAAAAACGATTTTCTTAGCTGCATTAAGTAAACCCTGGTTATACTGACAACTACAGTTATGTTTTAGAAAGACAAGCAATATTAATTATAATAAACAGAACAACAAAAATCACTATGTGTGCTCTCTACAGCTGTATGTTCTTACACTAAACATTTCATGTAAAAATCAAACTAGTTTTCTTTTTTAAAAGAAACTAGGTAGCTGTACTGGAATAATGTTTTGAAGTGGCAGTAAGTAGGAATATTAAAAAGTTCAATGATATCATTTACAATAAAGTTCTCATTTTTTAAAAATTGAAGTTTAAAAATTACTACTTTACTTTTCTAAAGTGTAGTCCTTATAAACACAAGGAACAAAGCTTAATAAAGATGAAAAGCCTCATGGCAAAAAGAACTTGAACATCAAAATTTAAAAACATTGCAGATCTTTGAAAAGAGTCTATTAAAAGCAGGGAGCTCAGGAAATAGACTGCACTGTCATAACATTTCAGGACTGCTGCCAGTATCAATACCCTCTCAAGTGCAGCTTAACAAGACAAATGAGAAAAACGCGTCACACATTCTCCTCATCCGAGTCTTAATTATCGCCAACAGAACTGTGCTTTTCAAGATGTTAATAATTTAACTATAATTAAATACTAACCCTTACCATATATTTGCAATTAATGGTTTATTCTTACCATTAAAGAGTACTTAACTCAATTAAATTTCAGGATATTCATTAGATGTGTTAGAATTAAAATGCCTACGATTAATTTTAAAATTAGTTGACAATAATTCATGGATATAGACATAGCTAACATTTTTATACAAGGAACTCTTAAAAACTTTTAAAAAATGTAACCATTATTGCTGTATTTAACCCCTGGACATTACTGAAGTATAGCATCAAGTCTAAGTAGTTAATTGAGTTATTAATGTAGCAAAAGCCAATGAATATGATATATATAAAAAGCAGAGTTATGCCAATGTAATAGTTATCTTAATGATTATAAAAATGACCAGAAAGGTAAATAGTAAAAAGCAACCCATTAATAGATGGCATATGCCGGTATTGTTCAAGGGAAGACCTTGAAAACAAATCTTAATTTAACAGTGTAAAAAAATTCATTCAATACTTTCAAATTATAATCTACTGAGAAAGCATATTTTAGTGAAAATACATTTTTCTATTTTTGTTAACTCAGTTTCTCTAAGCAAACATATTTTAATGAATTGTTCTGATGAGTAGGAATTAAGAGACATTTACTACACTGTCATTTTGTCAATAGTCTTTCTTATTTTCTAAGTTAACAAAATGTTCTAGGTGGCCAAATCTCCCCAGTGTACATGGCTAACCAATCAGATATAACTAATACATAATAACCTTACTAAAAACAAGCCATCATAAAATTATTCAGTCCATAGGCTGATAATTCAAATCCCATACAGATGGGCAGAAAAATGCTAGCCTTCCCATTCAAAATGGTTACCATACACTACGATTAATTTGATAAATCCAAATATTTAATGTTTTAACTCTACATATTTCAAAACATCTGTAGAAACAGGAATATTTTATAGACCTCTAACTAACAGGCCAGCTTAACTCAGAGATCTAGTGAGGCAACACAGGCAGCTGAAATGCTTATTCACAATGAAATAGTCATCTAAAATCATCTGTAACGCTAGTGCTACTCATGTCTGCATGACAACCCTTCATGAGTTCACAAAGAATACAAGAATCAATGGCCATCCTACTACCTCCCATGTTCACACAAACCAACAAGTACTTCATCTCAAACGTTCCCCATCTAAGAACCTGGAACTAAAGGTGCTTGCTCATCATGAAGCTGACAAGCAAAAAGTGAAAAGGCTGTATCTTCTGCGAGTGTGCTTGAGTGCAATTTAATACAGTACATGCAAATCCAGCAGAGCAGCACTGGATAACCCCTGCTTCTCTGAGATGTGTGTGACAGGTGCTGGGATGGAGGCTGACTTATAAATGCAGAGACCTTTCCACACACAGATTCCCCATCTGGCCTTTCAGAATATGAAGGATGGGGGAGTGGCTGAACACTTTCAGGTCAAGAGGCATGGAGCTAAGCATTGGCAGTGGAAGCATTAATAATGCATAGAAAGAGGATATTTAAGTCTTGACATCATCTTAGAAAACAAAGACTTCATTATTGACATTATTTTCCTAAATTTATACCGTGTAAAATATTTAGGGAAATTTTCCTAACATGCATTACACAAGCACACACACCTACCTCACAATTTCTCCAGAACTGATCTATGTAAAGTCTAGTCAATGACTTCTACTAATTGCCTCAGCACTCTACATATTTGCTTCTATTGGATTCTCTCTGAGAAACTCATTTACCTTGAATATGAATAATGTAGAAAGCATAATTTTAAAGGGTATTTTACTAGTTTAGTGGCTTCGTTGTATAAATTCACATGAAGAACATTCCTAAAGCTCTGCCGCCAAAGCAAAAATGGAAGGAAAGAGAGAAACACAGGGAGGCGAGGAGCGATAGCAAGAGCAGCAGCGCATGCATGCAGTGGTGAAATGGCACATGGCACATGGCACACAGCACATGCTCAAGGCCTCTGCAGCCAAAGGCAAAACATAAGGGACAGGCAGAAGGCACTGGGAAGCACACAGTGAGTGTCTTACACGTCTGCCTTTGCTAGCTGGAGTACAGGACGGGGAGTGCTTCAACAGAGAGAGAACACCACGTTACACATATTCACAGGGAAGGAGTCAGGCCCTCTGTACCAACACACAGCAAACACACTTATGCACAAAGCCACCCTTTTGATACATTCAAGTACATATATAATCAGGAAAAACTGTAGGATAAAACAGCAAGGAAACAACTACTCAGTTGTAGTCTAAGGCTGATGAGGTTTTCATTGGCACACACATTGTGATCCACATGGCAACATTCCACCAAGGAAGTGAACAATTTCAACAACAGGTCTATTTAGTTTTGTTACTGTTTCCATAAAATACTTATTTGAGCCCTAGTAGCTCCCCTCTCACAAATCACCCATGCAATATATAATCAATTTTTCTTTATGGATTTACCTACCAACTCTACTCTTTTCAAAGGTGGCTTTTAAAATGTATTTATTTAAAGATTTTATGGAGCACGCCTTTAATCCCAGCACTTGGGAGGCAGAGGCAGGTGGATCTCTGTGAGTTTCAGGCCAGCCTGGTCTACAGAGTGAGTTCCAGGACAGGCTCCAAAGCCACAGAGAAAGCCTGTCTCAAAAAACCAAAAGATTTCGTTTATTTATAATACAACATTCTGCCTTCATGTTTGACTGAAAACCAGAAGAGGGCACCAGATTTCATTACAGATGGTTATAAGCTGGGAATTGAACTTAGGTTCTCTGGAAGAGCAGCCAGTGCTCTTAACCTTTGAGTCATCTCTTCATTCTGGCTTTTAAAATGTTCAGAGCTAAGTTAGGACTCATCAGCAAAGACAATATACAAAACAAAAGCATAGTTCTAAACTGCCCACCCTGACTACATCTTCACCTTGAGATTGGCTATGAGAGAATGTGAAAGATTGTGGGTGAGAACAATGGTAAAATCAAGACACTAGTGAAGGAAGGAACCACAACAAAGGAGCATCTCGGTAAGATTTTAAATGAGGCGAAATGATTAAACTCTGCCTGCTGAAATCATGCATTTTCCCTGTTTGCCAAAATATGAGAAGTAGACAAAACAAACTCAGGAAAAATCAGGAATGAAAAAATGATTCTGGATTGTTCTAAATAATGAAATGATAGTTTTAATAGGCCTAAATTAAAGAAAAAAAGTAGAAGAGCAGAAGGTAAATTTGGAGGAGAGGTCCTATGGGTAGTAAAACTGAGAACCCTGAAGGTAACAATGGGCCTGTGTGGAGGGGTGTAGAGAAGACACAACACCAAATTAAACTTGCAATTGTACTTGCTTAACACAATCTTCTCCTAAACATGCAAGGCTGAGCTGCAATTAGGGTTAGTTATTCAGCATTTTCGCCTATAGCAGTAACAGAAGATGGAAAGGGATGACCACAAGGATGTGATTCCAGGTTAGTTAAGCACCAGAATCTACCTCATGTGGGGCAAATCATACACTCTAAGCAAGATGATAAAGAATAATCTAGACTCAATTATTCCTTAAATATTCTAAATGCCTAACAGTGGGAGCTGCTATTGAACTTGGGTTTCATAGTATCTTGGATGTGCAACATGAATATATCAAAGATTTAATGCTACTACTGAAACATAGTTTTACTATGATTTTAATGATAAAATGAATGAATGACTAACACTGAGAAACAAGGTCATAGTTATGAACAATAAACAAAAGAAACAAGAGGGTTATATTATAAACTATACATTAAGAATAGGATTTATTTATTTTTTTAAACTGGGCATTGTGGCGTACACCTTTAATCCCAGCACTTAGGAGGCAAAGGCTGGTGGATCTCTGTGAGTTCCAGGCCAGCCTGGTCTACAGAGCAAGCTCTAGGACAGGCTCCAAAGCAACACAGAGAAACACTGTCTCCAAAATAAAAATAAAAATAAAAAGAATAGGATTTTTTTAAAAAATGGGAGCTTAGTGATAGCCCTACCTGTAATAGAAGAAATCATTTCCTAATAGTCATGGGATTGGACTCGACAATTTCAAAAAAGGTAATGTGGTTCATGTTCTTAGCAAGAGGAAGGCTAAGCACTGAAGTGTAGTCACACTGGTAGACAAGAAATGAATCTAAAGAGTAGATGAAGAGAGGAGAACCAACCTAGCAAGGAAATGTCCTGAAATCCCTGAAGGCATTAGATGGATTTCTTTAAATATTCATATGAGAGTGGTACTACAGCATAACAATTTGTCAGATGAGCAAATGTAGCTTTTGAAAGGCCAGGTAATTTCTTTCAAACTCCATGTTTGAAAGTGGAATAGCCAGCTTTTAAGCATTACCAGAACAATGGGAGGACAGAAGGAATAGCAACATCATGCCTTGGAAAAGTCTCAACAGGAAGACTCAGCAGCTTTCTGCACTCAGCTTTTCTCACTGTATGGAGTTCCTCCATACTTTATAACATCTAGCTCAGTGTTCAAAATGAAGGATCAGAAAGGGGAAAGTAAGGCTTGCAAATGGCTGTGACTTAGGTGCACTTTGAGTACATTTGGAAGAGAAATTATAGAATGCTCCTGAGAGTAGGAGCCTGGCAGAGGGGACACTTCTCACAGATTTCTGGAGAAGAGTTCATTTGTTTGTTGGAATATGTACTGTTAGGTTTTACAATGTGAGTATTTATGGGAAAGAAAAGGATGGAGGCAAGAGTTTGTTAAGAAATAGTGAAAGCAGTCTATCAGTAAAAAGAACTCTGTAATTACTCAAACTTTCTCTTCATCCTTTCTAATGTGAATAATAAAAATATCACATTGTTTTAACGTACCAAACAGCAGACTGCAACATGGGATTTCAAGGGTTTGAAAGTCAGTTATCTTTCAATTATATTACAGAATCACCCAGCATAAGTCACTGTTTTAGAAACAATAACAAAGATTTCCATTTCTGGAGGGAAACAGGTTTTGACATATTTTTAAACATATTAAAAAGTCTCTATGTTATTCAGTAATTTGAAAATATAGTATCAAGAATTTTTTCAGTGGAAAATTATGCTGAAATCATCTTCTGAATATAACATTGTACTTTAACAAAATACTAGGAAGAAAACATTTAATGAATTTCCCATAATTTAAAAATACTTAAGTATATTATTTGCATTTAAACTCTTTTATCTGTAAAGTGCTCATGTTCAACAGAATATCAATTGTAGGTCAAGGATTACTGAGTCATCTAATGTGAAGCAGAAAACAAATATAACAGGCAGTGTAGGTAGAAAACCCACGTATCACACACTTATTAGAAACTTCTAAATTATTAAATCTACAGAACTAATTCAGACAATATGCTAATACATCCAATTTATGGGGTATACAGTACATATGATAATTTAAAATCATTTCCACATCAGAAATCTGTATTAAAAATCCATTTATGTTCTTACTGTGTTACAACAAAACTATGAGTTTAATTTTTTGAATGTCACTGTTTTGATTTTGCCACCACAGAATTATTTTTAAACCAACACAGAAACAGCAAGATGCTAAAAAGAAAAGTAAAACAGAAACCATGAAAAATGAAAATGAACAATTTCTTATAAATGTGACAATATTCAAGTAAGCAAAGAATGGAAAACACAGATTCGCCAAAGGCCAAAGCATTTTTAAAAGTTTTTCTAACTTTACTACATTTGATAACAATAAACTATAATATTTAAGATATGAAGGAAGCATTTGGCTCACATAAATTTCTAACTGTATTACTAGGCAAATTCTTCAAATCAATTCACTGATCTCTTTTACTGAAGGATGCATTGGTTTGAAAATTAAAGACTTACGTCATCCAAAAAATCAATCAGTGAGGATGAGGAAGAAGAAAAGGAATCCTATTTAACGAATTCAGCAATAAAAAAAAAAAAATAGAAAATATGGATGAAGCAATTTAATACAAACAAATAATAAATCAAAATTTTGTAAAACAATTGAAAGGCAAATGACATTTGTTTAAATAAATAAATGAGAAAAGCAGTCACTGTCACTACTGTCAAGGAATTTAGGGTTACTTTTCAAAGAGTGATCCTTCCTTCCCTAAAGGAATAAAATTCTGCTACTGTACCCAAAGTAACAAAATATGAAATCACTGACTATTAAATTAATGGTACACTTTTGAAATAAAAACTGAAATAGGCTATCAGAATCTCTGCTTCTAATGCTTCCTGCTGGAATATAAGCGATTGGAGAGGGAACTTTGCTGTGCTCACGTCCCTATTTCTAGCACTTAAAGCAGAGCACAGAGCACTTGCACATAGATTCTGGATTTCCAACTGCTGAAAAAGATGATAACCAATAACTTACATTTTCTGACATAAATCATGTTTTGACATCATACTGACTTTTTTTTTCAGCAGAATGTTTAAATAATAAAGAATGACAAAGCTACAAAATCACTATTTCAGAGTACTGCTAACAAGAGTGTAGGTTAGCAGTGTAGGTTAGTGTCAAAAAGCAGTATCATTACTGCTTACTTCTTAAAAAGAAACTGATCTGGAATGAGAGCCAACAGCAAGCTACTGTGAGTGTGCATGTTTTTACTTATTTTTATTGTGCCTCTAAACATGGGAGAAAAGGAAAATGTTATTAAAAGTTGGGATGTGCTCTGCTTTCACTGTTTTTGGGGGGAGGAGTTGAACCTGCTTTTAGGTCTAATAACAACTTGGGTTTCAAACTTTCTTAGATGTTTTTATTACATACAAGTGTGGTCACACTTTCCATAAGAATGCAGACATATTCCTCCCTTACTTGCTTCTATTCACTTATTTATATGATTTTAGGTTCTCTTATGTGGCTGCAATAAAAGTTTTACTGCAAGTAAATTTTAGATTCCAGAGTGAATTTTCAGTAATGCAGAAGATATTCAGAGCAGTCACTTACTTCAAATTGATCCAGAGCATCGGTAGGCGTATTCAAAAATGCCAAGAAAGAATGCTGTGAGTCTTGGTGCTCTATACCTAGAAAACAGCAGCGACTTTTTTTTTTAAAGTAGAACAATTAAAACTAATTTTCATGGATAACATTTCCTGTCTCAATCTACTAAAGTATTTAAGAATAAAATTACTATGTTTCAAGGCTTATTAACTTTACATAATTAAAAAACAAAATACATTAGTGTTTTCTAGACTCAACAGTTAAATTAGACTAGTTTCCATGAAAGTCCTCTGAGTCAATAGTTAACAAAATTCTTTTTCCATCTAGTACAGTGGTTGCAATATGTAGGTTGCAACCCACTTGGGAGTTGACTGATCCTTTCACAGGGGTCGTATATCAGATATCCGACACATCGGATATTTACATCATAATTCATAACAGTAACAAAATCACAGTGGTCCTCAACCTTCCTAAAGCTGTGATACTTTAATACAGTTCCTCACGCAGTGGTGACCCTCCCCATAACCACTGATCTAGTACATCATAATAAAATAAAATATAATCTTTTGGGCAATTTGATAAAAAAACTAGAAGCTTGTCTAATTGTGATTTTTCTAAATTTATTTACCAAGCTTCCTCTTTTGAAATACTTTTAAAAAAATAATCTTTTCAGAATTTGTGAAATATATTTATTTCATAAACAACACAGTGATAAAATAAGTAAACTTAATTAACTTCTCACTTCAGTTATTAGCATACTGAAGAATGAAGAATCCAAAATTCAGTTTTTCTTGGGTGATTTAAAGAAATACATATATACCTTTTGGCAATTATAGTAAATAACACAGAAATGATGATAAATACTAGGGAAGATAGATCAAAAATAGCCTATTATAAATTTAAAAAATTGTGTATATGAATGTTTACCCTGCATGTACATCTGTGCACCACATACATGCAGTGCTGAGGGGCCAGATGAGGGCATGAAAGCCCTGGGACTGGAGTTACAGAATGCTATGAACCACCACACGGGTGCTGAAGATTAAACCTGGGTCCTCTAGAAAAAGTAGCCAGTGCTCTGAACTGCTGAGCCATCTTTCTAGCCCCTATTATACAACTTTGACTTTTCTATCCTGAAGAGTTAGCAATTGGTTTGTGTCTCTCCCCCCAGTCCCTTGAACTGCAGGCCATGTACACTTTGAGCTGTATTTGTGCGCATGCCCACATATATGCATTTAGAGGTCAGAGGTCAGTTGTCTTGTTTTATTGGGGTCCATTTTGTTTCTGAAACATCACTAAGACTAGAGTTCACCATCTGGTTAGAATGGCTGGTCTGTGAACTCCAGGAATTTTATTTCTTTTGCCTCCCAATGCTTAGATTATAGGTATATTCCCTTCACCCCTGGATGATGAGACCGTGGTTGCTCAGACTCTAAGCTCAGGTACGCACACTTGCAAAGTAAGCATTTTACACACTGAGTCATCCACCCATCATTGATTTATGTGGTTACTAATATTTTTTCTAAAATATCAGTTATCAAATAGGCAGTTCAGAAGTGTATTTAGTAAACAAATATTTATTATGAGTCTACTGTGAGGAATTGAGATGGCTCAGCAGCTAAAGGCTTTTGAGCCAAGCATGAAGACAGATAGACCCACACGGTGAAAGAGAGAGACTCTCTAGCCTCTACATATGTGCCAAGGCATGTACATGCCCTCACCCCACCACATCCACACAAATAAATGTTTTTTAAAAGAGCCTATTTTGTAGCAGATACTCTCCTAGATACTGGAGATAAAATAGTGAACAAAGTATAGAAAAGGTCCTTGTCTTTATTTTGTAAACATACTTAGATAGCACATTATATTATGTTGTAACACAATGAAGTTTTATTTTGCAATATTCTGAATAAAAAAGCCTTTGTTTAACATGGTTTCATAAAGCAATGTGCTATAAACTTAAAAAGTCTTTTATTTTTAAATTTAGACATAATCTAAAAAATAGTGCAGCCAGTCTGATGTGTCAGTTTTATTTGGCACAGGTGCCATTTTTGTTGAATTGCTTTTAGGACCTCAAGGTCACTCATGTGTTACAAACTATTTTTCTTCCTTAAGATACCTCTTTTCCACTGTTCATGAATTAAAATCAAGCAAGATCATTTTAGCATGGTGGCTTATCCTTTTATCATGAGTTCCTATTAACTTCTGTTCATTAAGAAAGTCAATCAAGAACGACAGAAAAATGTAACATCAAGTACTGTAGTACTGTTCTCTACAGTATACGCAGGAATAGAGACCCAACCAGCTTTATCCCTCTCTGTGCTATGGAGATGGGAAATGATAGAGTAGCTTTAGCAAATAAAAATACAATAAATTAACCCAGTAATTGATGATAGCCTTTGTCAGAAAAATGGATTTTGGATAATTCCTTATAAAATGACCCTTTACTAAAGTAAGTAAAGTAAAGTCACATTCTGAATTTATTTTTACTAAATCATCACCCTCTTAATGTTTACATTATGGAAAAGCTGCATAAGAAGTTCATATTGTAGGATTATTACATACTTTGAGTTAATTCCGTGTGAAAAGAAAAATGAAAGTTCTCAAGAAAATGCTAATAAAATCTGGGAAATCACACAGGCCAAGCAATGTAATCATCAAACTGGAAAAACACAACAAACACCCAAATAATTCATTACTAAAATAATTAATACTAAATTAGTTATCTTTGGTTATTTTATATTATTTTCCCAGCTGCCCTTCCTGTACACATATGATTTTGTATATTTCAGGCACATAAAAAGTGTTAATAAATGTAATCCCAGCACTTCAGGGAGGGGCAAGAGGACTCTGAATGCAAGGACACCATGAACTACTCTGCAAGATTCTGTCTTAACTGCCAGATGGTGGTGGGGCATGCCTTTGATTCCAGAACTCGGGAGGCAGAGGCAGGCAGGTGGATCTCTGTGAGTTTGAGAGCTAGTTCAAGGACAGCCTCCAAAGCCACAGAGAAACCTTGTCTCGAAAAAGCCAATAAATAAATAAATAAAAATAAATAAGACTGACTCAAAAACAGCCTCCCCCTTTTCAAGTTTCCTCACTAAATTCTAATGTCAACATATAGCACCACTGTTGAAGTGACTGCCTCATATGAGAACAGTATAAATACATCACAAATACCTTAATTCTGATCTCAAAAGTTGCTCATGAATTTTTTTAAACACTGAAATAACAGCCAAATTTATGGCAAACTGGTCACTTCCGTAATGAAAAATTCTTAATCTACTGTATATTAAATAATACATAGTAGCTCAGCCAGTCTACATACGTGTGTGCACATGTGTGTACATGAGTGTGTGTGTGTGCGTGCGCGTATGAGTTTGCATGCAGGTATGGTTGCTAATGTAAAGAATTCTCCATCTACACAGTAAGTTGGTTCTCATGCAATGAAGAACATTCAGAACAGCAAGTCCTGCCACAAACAGTCTCATACCCTTTTCAGATCTAAGCTCTTCCGTGTCCTTTATCAGCTGCTCAATTTCGGACAGCAGTTCCAAGTTCTTCTTCTCTGAATCTTTCAGTTTACTTAAATAAGCAGGAAAAGGAAAATAGTCACTAATTAATTTTGTGTAGTTGGGTTTATTTGGTTTAAATGTCTGTTAGGCTAAAGTAGGAGAGAGTACACTACTGCATGCAAGACAAATACAGCCTGTTACCTGCCATTACACAAATTAATAAAGCAAGTCAAACCCACACATTTCTGTAAAGAAGACAGCTGCCAATCCTTAACAACAGGATTGCTGCTGTTGCACTGTGACCCAGAGCTTAGCAGAGGAGTCTACACTGGCCTTTATAGAAAGTTTGCTGAGCCTGAGCTGAATTGTTAAATTTAACAATATTATGGAAGCAAAATTAATTTTAGAATTCTGCTAGACCTTGTTCATATATCACCATGTAACCAGAGCATATATGTGTGTGTGTGTGTTCATGCGAGCACTCTGTGTATTCGTGTGTGTGTGTGTGTGTGTGTGTGTGTGTGTGCGCGCACGTGCACTTGGTGTGCACTTGTGTGTATGTATATGTATGTGGGTGTGCATGTGTACTTGTGTGTATTTGTGTGTGTAGGGGTGTGTGTGCTCATTGTATGTGTCTGTGTGTATGCATAAATGTGAAGGGCAGAGTTCAGTACCAGGTGTCTTCCTCAGCATCTCTTCACCTTAGTCTCAGAGACAGAGTTTCAATGATTTTGGAGCGCACTGACCTGGCTAAGTGTCTTAGGAACCTCCAGAGCACTCCTGCCCCTACCTTTCCAACTCTGGGATTTTGGGGTTACAGGTAGATGCCACAGCTCCCAATATTTTTTTTCTTTTTGTTTAAGGTGGGGATCAGAGTTCAAAAGTAAGGTCTTCACTCTTACATGATACACACTTTACTGAGTCATCTCCCCAACCCTGATCATCACTTTTGTTGGTCAGGGGCAGAGCTGGGAATCAGACCCACAACCTTGGATGTACCAGGCAAGCACTATACTACTCAATAGTATTCCAACCGTATGGTCATCACTTTTTAAAAAACAAAAGCAAAATGACAGGTAGGCAGCTAAACATGTAACTTCTTTCCAAATACTTTTCAACAAACTTATAAACTATTATAACAAGACTAAATTATTGGTCCTTACCACTCTGTGATGATGTTAGATGCTTTAACTTTATTCAGCTCTTCCTGGATAGCCTGCTTAGCTCTTATTTCTGCATCCAGAGCTGATTGTAATTCTAGTCTAGCTGACATGTCCAGTTTTGCAAAACGACGCATTTTCCAAGGCATATCCTATAGAATAATATGATTATGTCTTAGTTCCTTTCTATTTTATTCGTAACATTTAAATTTCATAATACAAGTGAATCTAGAAGCTACTTTAGAAGCAATATCACTGAGCCTGAGTGGAACTGGAACATAATTTGTGAAAATGCATTTTTAATTAAATCAAGAAATAACAATAAATATATGTAAATGAATATAAGTAATTGGCTTCTCTTTTCAGCTCCTTCAGTAATGGTATAGTTATAAAATAACAGCTAACAGTGACATTTTTATTTTCTTAAACTGGAAAAGACCTAACTAACTTATTTATTATGAAAACTTTTACAGCAAGTGAAAGCCTGGGAAAACTGGTACAGTTAAATTTATTATGTGCTTTCTGCTTCCTAAAGAGATTAGTTTCCAGGTGAAATGGCAGAGCTTACGGTTGCTCGTGTCCCCAAGCTGGAATTTCTTAACGCTTCCAATTCTTCCGTCATTTTAGAGGCTAAGGCCTGAAGATAGCCTCGTGCATCCTTTTCATCGCTCACCCTAGATAGAATACACACGAGATGAAGTGCAAAGTAAGACACAGAAAACTTCAGTGGTGTATGTAATTTACAGCTTCATTAAGAACTAAGTATCAAAAACTTAGATACTTAACCCCTTAAAAGGATGGCCACACCACTGCTACCTGTCAAAAGCTGGGAATAGATTTATTAACTATTTAGTTATGTATAAATGGAAGTTGGCAGTAATTAGGAAAGCTCAAGTTGCTTACATCTGATAAATTATTAAACCACCCTTGAATCACAAATGTTAACTCTTTAGATCTTATACTGGATTTTCTGAAGACTACTATGATTTCTCATTGTCTTGATTCTGACATTTTATCTCATAAAAAGACACACACTTTCTTTAAAGCTGATGTATACTGAACTTAAGAAATTTAAAGTATGATATTTTGCAGAAGTGAGGGTTATGCTATGGTGGGGAATGTTCTTCTGTATACATGCTTCTCTTATTGGTTGATGAATAAAACACAGACTGGCCAGTATTCAGGCAGGAAGTATAGACATGGCTAGGAGAGGAGAAGAATTTTGGGTAAAGGATACAGAGAGAGGATGCCAGAGAGCCACAATGTAGAATTACATAGTTTAATAGTTATGGGTTAATAATTAAGAGAGCTAGCTAGTAAGAAGCCTAAGCTATCGGCCAAACAGTTTATAAATAATATACCACTCTGTGCTTATTTGGGGTTGAAGGGTGGCAGGGCCAGGCGGAAAAGAAACTCTGTCTACAATGCTATAACAAAACACTCCTGTTTTCTAAAAGTATTAATTAAATAATAATGAAAGAATAAAGGATAACTTTTAATGAAGTTCAAGTCTACTTTCTATTTGCCATTTTAAGGTTACGCAACTGATAAAAACCACTGATTTTAGGTAGAAAATATACTAAATCACAATTTTAAAAAAGGTACAGTGACTGAAGAAGAAACCAAAAGTTGATCTCTAGCCTACACATACGCACATGTGCGTGTGTACACACACACACACACACACACACACACACACTTATAAAAAACAAATTTCCTGCTGTTAAATTTCTAGTTATTTCAAACTGAATTGTGAGCTTATAAAATAATTGTTCCATAATGCTCACTATGACATTTAAGTCTATTATTTATGTTTCTTCATGACACATTGTAGTTAGCATCTGAAGTTGGCAGTTATTTCACTACAGTGTTTAGATGATTTCACACTTTTTCTTCTGGAAGACCAACAATTTGAGGCAAGCCTTAAGAACATGGTGAGAACTGTCTTTAAAAAAATGAATGAATGAGTTGCTGAATGAATGAATTAAAGATTCCTTTCTTCATCAGGATCGCTTCCTAGTCTCCTGGTCACTAGAAAACAGCAGTGGTCTAGAACCACAGGTTTGCCCGGGGGGGGGGGGGAGGGGAAGAAATCAGCTTATAAAGCAATTTTCATCTCCATTTTTTAAAAAATTATTCAGCTCCATGATAAATTTGGCTAAATGTTAAAATGGTTCTCTTTAGAAATGTAAACCCAATGATGTGGACACAAATTAAACATTAATGAACTAACAGTTGTATTTTTTTTTTTTTTTTTTGGTAACACAATACATTTCCACAATTTGGGCATGTCTGTATGCATTAGTTAGCAGAAGAGCACTACAGTCAGGTCAGTATATATTCGGGTTATTAGAGTAAAGTTACTTACAATACATTTTATTCACTTTTGATTTAAGAAGGGTGTTACAAATCTGATAAAGGAAAATAGAAAACTGATTAAACTAAAAAATAATAATAGTAAACTAAAATCCTCAATAAAAAATTAACTGATTTATAGACACATAAAGGAACTAGCTATTCTGACATAAAAGTTAAAATGGGTAAAGATTTAAATAAATACAAACGTTATTAGGAAATAAGTCTTCAGTGGATTCTGCTTACTCCACAAAGTATAAAATATGCAAATTTTTATAAGCATGGTAACAAGCATTTGGTGAATTGAGATGACAAAATTCATAAGCCAAATAATCAAAATTAGTCCTGGAGCAAAGAAAAGAGTTTGTGAAGCTAAGCCATAATCACTTAAGGTTTTTAAAATACCATGTCTAAACTGAGACGTTATACTTACAAACACAGCATTGTTCAGCTTCTACATTTTTCTCAGGCTATCAGCTGCTTAAGATAATCATATACATTCAGTTTTGATCTTAGAAAAGAATACCAAAACAAGTGGATGTGTTTAAGTTACTTAAAGGCTCGCTTTTCCCATCTTTATAAAGTGTAGTCACTAACTTACTTTCCATGACAAACCAAGATGAAGGGTATTAAGAAGTTCTTGGCATCCACACCAACTTGGCCATAGCCCACGCCACCCACAGCAGTACATCTGGAAGGATACTCACCACTGGATTATTTCTGTGATTTGCGCTTCCCAGTGGGCGACTGATTCTTTCTTGTCTGCTAGATCTTTGACCTCTTCTTCTAAATGCTGGTTGCGCAAACTTAAGCTCTCATACAATGTGGTCAGCTGGAAGGCAGTTTAAAGGCATGAGTGGCTTTTAGGAACAGGACTTGACAGTACATAGACACCTGTTGTTCCATATAATAATGTATAATCTTTCACTAAAAATGTCTGTCTTTTTATTGTCCCATATCACACTGAAAATATGAATTGGTTATAATGAACACTTTGAATTTTCCTGCTTTCTTTGCTTTTCCTCATACCCTATATGAAATTGGTTCTAGTTGTGAATATTCTTCATCTAATTAAAAAAAAATTCTGCAGGTAATATCCACTCTTCCTTTGATGGGAGATGTCATTCTGGAAATATGTTTCTCTTATTGGTTAATGAATAAAGCACTCTTAGCCAATAGGAAAGCAAGATAGGCAGGACTAGGAGACTAGGAGGAGAGAGGAAGAATTAGGGAGGAGTTTCAAGATGTAGGACCAACAGGGTAGAACACCAGGCCCTCTCTCTGGTAAGATAAGACCATGTGGAAATACTTAGATTAAGAGAAATGGGTTAATATTTAAGACAGAGGTAGCCAATAAGAAATGCTAGTGACTGGCCAACAGCTTTATTTCTAATATAGCATCTTTGTGTGTTATTTGGGGCTGGGGGACCAGGCTGGCAGAAAAACATGCTCATAACAAAATGGTGCCGTAAGGTGGCTAATAAGAATTTCCACTTACAATTTAATAAAAGCTTAAGAAAGGGTTTTAGAAACAAAAGAACAGAGACAAGCAAGGCTTCTTGGAAACAGCATTTTTCTTGGTTGGACTCTGTTTTGCGAGAGACAAGAAGAGACTTGTGTGGATCCTTTAAGGGAGGTTTCCTGACTCAGCATAAGCAGCAAAAAACTGCACAGTTTTTAAGAAGCATGGCTAATAACTTAATGGTGTATACCAGAGCTGGCAATGGCAGTGACCACATCTCTAAGCCAGAACATGCTGCTGAATGGCAGTGTAGACCAAGGCAGTGAACACAGCTCTCAGTTCTGGGTAAAAGTACCCACCGCCATCTTGGATAGACAGTGGCTAATACAGCTATGGTTTTCATTTTAGCAATGTTGTTTAGCAGATAAAAGACTCGTGGCCATAAAAGGATAAAGATTTACAGTAAAGACAGACTCAGATTAAGAAAAACCTCTAAATGTCTACAGTTTTTTTTTTTTTTTTTTTTTTTTTTTTTAAATATACGTAGGCTTGGGAGAGAAAAAGAAACAGGATAAAATGATTAAAAAAATAATAAAAAGAGTGGCTGGGTGTGGTGGCACACACCTTTAATTCTAGCATTAGAGAGAGAGAGGCAGGCAGATCTCTGTGATTTCAAAGTAAACCTGGTACACAGAGTTAATTTCAGGACAGATAAAAGTCACACAGAGAAACCCTGTCTCAAAAAATAAAAAAATAGAAGTAAAAGAAATAGAGTAATAAAAAAGCCATGTAAAGATGGAAAGCACAAAAAGAGTATGGATACTATATGCCGTTCTGTTATCTTTGTATTGTTTGACTACTGAGGAAATAGCAGCAACTGTTAAAATAAATGCTGCTGAATTAATCCAATTTATATATTTTAAAAATTATTTGACTCCAAAATTTAAGTCTAAGGACAGGTTACTGGGGAAAAGGATTTCTATTTTTGTTTCCACAGAAAATAAAAAGCTGTGGATTCCTTCCAGACTAACATGGTTTGATCAAGTAAGAACCCCTGAAACAGTGTTCCAGGTGATCCAACATTCAAAACAGTTGGGATAAGACAGCCTTGCAGACTACAGCCAGGATTTCTGTATCTTCTTAGCATCCCCCATGACTGCGCCCCCTACTAGCAGTTTGGAAAGAATGACACCCAAATTCCCAAATATTGTCTATAAATGTTTTCATTTATATGGGGTTGGTCATAAATGGTTAATGATCACAACCAATATTTTTAAAGGTAAAAAGGGGATTATGGTATAGATATGAATACTTTGTTTTGGAATGGATTTTCATTTCAATTTATATCATATATAAATTGATACAATTTAAGGTCAATTTTGTGATATGTACATTTCTCCTATTTAGGTATTGTGTTTATATAGCTCATTTAGAAATGTAATGTGTAATTTAGTACAGATTATAGATAGTTACCTATGATAGTCAAAACTTAGAGTTAAATTAGTTAGGATTTCTAGATATACTGAGATTTTTTGAGATAGGCATTCTTCAAACCTTTCAAAGACCTACAGAATATGGCATTTAAAATGGTTTAGGGTTTTTCTTGACAATGAGACATAACTGTTCCTGGCAATACCACCTGCATCAGAAAGGAAGATGGACATTGAAGAAACGTGTTAGGAAGTTTGCTTTCAATATGGCAAGACTAGCCATTTGGGCAAGATATTGCTCTTGTCTGGACTATCTGACTTTATTCTGTATAAACTAGACATGCAGGACCCACATAAAAGTGACTGCTGATTCAAGATGGACATTGCTACGGTTCCTGCTTCATGGAAGAGTCTGCCAGTCTACAGACAAGAGAAAAATGACTAACAAACTGCCAATAAGGTGGACGGTTTAAAGTTTCCTGCTTTGCTGAGAAGTCTGCCAGACACACTATGGCCTATAGGCTAAAGATGGAACATTACAGAAGAGCTTCAGGTGACTGACCAGGCAAGATGTCTCTGTCATTTCTAGAGTTTATATATTATCTTTCTGTGGTCTTTGATGGAGTTGAAGACAGATAGTTACGGTTATAGTTTTCCTTAGTTAGAATTAAAGATAAGTTACATATAGGACCTCAGACTTACAAAGATAGGCTAGATGATGAAATATTTTCTTTAAATCTTGCTAAATGTTAATGGACTAAATATTGCTAACTATAATTCTTATTTGATAACTGTTTTGTTATATATTTTACTATGTTAAGGTTAAAACCCTTCTTTATTTTAGACAGAAAAGAGGAGATGATGGGAGATGTTATTCTGTAAATAGGTTTCTCTTATTGGTTAATGAATAAAGCACTGTTGGCCAATAGGAAAGCAAGATAGACAGGACTAGGAGGAGAGAGGAAGAAGAAGGGAGGAGTTTTAAGATGTAGGATCAACAGGGTAGAACACCAGGCCTTCTCCAGTAAGATGAGACCATGTGGAAATACTTAGATTAATAGAAATGGGTTAATATTTAAGACAGAGCTAGCCAATAAGAAATGCTAGTAACAGAATAACAGCTTTATATCTAATATAGCATCTTTGTGTGTTATTTAGGGCTGGCATGGCTGTGGGACCAGGTTGGCAGGAAAACAGTTCGTAACATTCCTTCTTACCTCCCCCCCCCACACTCCTATTTCCTGCAATGCTATATTAACTTTAAAAACATCTTACAAATAATTACAAGCACATACAAAAATGGTTTTGAGTTACCATGTGGGTGCTAGGAATCAAACCCAGATCCTCTGGAAGAGCAGTTAAACTGTGACACAGGGGATATGACCCCCTCTTTTGGTCTCTGCCAGCACTGTGTGCATATGATGTACAGAATACAGGCAGACAAAACATCCAAACACATAAAGTAACAATAAAGGTTATAAAACAAAAGGAAACTATGTACAAAAGAACACAAGTCCAAAAGAACAAACAAAATTAATTAAAATAGATAATGCACTTTATAAGTTCAAGGCTAGCCTGGGCTACATATGATACTATCTCAAAAAAAGGTGGTGATGGAGAGTGACAAAGGAGGGGAAAAAGATGGGGAGAAGCAAACCAGTCTGACACAAATGGTATAGCAAAATCTGTCATACAAACAACTGGCACCTTATGAGGAGGACCATTAAATATCACACAACAAAGACAAGTGACAATCATGGTTTAATCCACAGTGCATGACAACCAGCATGTACTAGACCAAATGAGACAGAATCACTCACCTTATCAAGTTCACTTGTTAACTTCTTATTTTCTTCAGTTAGTAATACTTTTTCCCGTTCATACTGTTGTTTGAACTCATTTTCAAATTCTTCCCTTTCACTTTGACTAATGCAATTCAAAACAGAAAAGTAGAAAAAAGTAATTGGATTAAAAGTCAACCAAAAAAAATTATTTTTGTAACATTTACATAGCCACTACATAAGAATCAGACTGAAGTATAGGCAGAACCACAGAGATGGAGTATGGTGATGTGGAAGGACAGATCTCATGAAAACCTTTCTAAGATCTACAACTGTCTGGCACAATAACACATGCCGCATGCCTTTGGTCTCAGGACTCAGGCACAGAGGGACCATGGAGCTTGAGACGAGCCAGGTCTACAAAATGAGTTCCAGGACTGCCAAAGATACACAGAGAAACCCTATCTCAAGAAAAACAAAACAAAACAAAACAAACAAAAACACAAAAACAAAAGAACAGTGGACTGGCCTATTCAATCATTTAACAAATATTTTAGATTATCTGTTATTTGCAAAACAGACCCTGCTTAAATAGTTTACATTCAAGTTGCAGGAGAAAAAATATTAGTAAGGGAATTAATTTTAGATAAGTCTATAAGGAAAAAATATTTTAATGTGATGATATTTTGTTTATAATCTGACAAAGCTTGCCTAAAGATCAGAGTGCAAAGCTAGACATACTAGTTAGCCATAATGTCCAGGCACTGGTGGTACACACCTTTAATCCCAGCACTCAGAGGCAGACAAATCTCAGTTAGTTCAAAGCCACTCTGAGCTCACAGCAACACTGCCTAAGGTAGATGGTGGGATAGCACCACTCCAGTGAGCTCACAACAAAGTGCGTGAGACTTACAGACTCTCCAGCCTCATTTGTTCACTTTGATTGTACACAGACACTAGGATGTATAATTAAAGGAAGAGGTCAGGCAAGAGACTATATGGGCCACAATGGAATTTATTCTCATCTCTAGACTGTGTGTGTATGTAGAAAAAAAAAATCACCATTATATTTTAGTATTCATCTCAATACGCCCAGCCCTTCTCTCTTCCTACATTTAGACACAAACATGCACAACAAATAATATTATTAAAGCATATTTACGGGGCAAGACTGATTTAAGACTGCTTAGAAGTAAACCACTCTTAATGTTTCCTGGGAGAAAAGGGGGAAACTCCTTCTGAAGACTGTGCTGTCATGTTGAGAAATGAACTTTTGTCTGTGGCAGTCTGATAGATGATGTTAGCAACAAAATTAAATTCAGTGCTGATAAGTTCTGGGTAATTTTATGTAATTGTTTGCAAGTGAAAAAAAAAAAAAGACATAAGTAATGGGTGAACCTAAAATCTCCTGTAACAACTACTGGAGATAAATTATAATTTAAATTATAAATTCAAGGAAAACAAGATATCCAGTCTCCAAGCAAATGTGTCACTGAATTATTTAAAGCCCCAAATGTTACATTTAGTTATTATATTAAGGAATCTTTCCTGACATAGAACTTTGAAAACAAACAAAATCAGGAAAAATTGCACGGACGCTTTTCAGAAAAGTATGTTCACTAATAAACAGTAAAATTTCATGTAAAACTATTCTTATTTTGTTCTAATAGCATTAAACAAACCACGTCTTATATTTTTAAAATGACAATAAGAACACAGTATTAGAATCTGAGGTCTGCTTCTACCCCCTAAACAAATCAAAAGTCTCTGTGAGCTCCCTGAAGCAGAGTTAACCCATCCCTGGAGCAGAGCGATTCCATCCCTGGAGCAGGGCTATTCCATCCCTGAGCAGAGCTATCCCATCCCTGGAGCAGGGCCATCCCATCCCTGGAGCAGGGCTATCCCATCCCTGGAGCAGGGCTATCCCATCCCTGGAGCAGGGCTATCCCACCATCTACCTTAGGCAGTGCTGCTCACCTTCCCCTACAGAAAGCATCTCCTACTGGCTCATGGCACACTGAACTTGCAGTATGTCTCTGGCTTCTTCCCAGTGGCCTTTGTAAGCTTCTCTTCTGACTTCCTGCAAATTCCAGTGCTCCTCAGAATGACATCTCAGATGCTCAAGTCCTCTCTAACATTCTCCCTGAGTACTTAACCATGTCACCTGGCTTCAATTACTATCTACTACACCAGTGGATCTTGGAACCCACATTGAAAACTTGCCAGGGCTTCAAACTGCTGCTTTAACACCAATGTCTTCAGAGCATTTCACATTCAACACTCCCAACTCAACACAAAAACCAGACCCACCACCTTCCTAGCTGACTTCATTTATGCCCATCTGCTTGCTCTACACTCTTATTTTCTACAAGTAAAACTACATATGCCTGAGGAAGGCTGATGTCTTCATTTCTCTAGTACCTTCCTCCCAACTCTACTGAATCATTTATTAGCTAATTCCTGTCAGATTACAAGTATATTATCATTTGTACTTAGTAAACACACACACATACCACCACCAACAACAACAATGACAACAGCAACGACAATGAAGAACAGAGTAACTTGGGATAAACTTCTCCAGCTACTGTTTCGCTGCTTACTTTGAGCAATAACAAGTTCAAGCACTGGTGTTACTTGTACACTGCCCCACAGCCCACTGCCCCACTGGCTCTCCTATGACCACTTTTCCACTGAGACTGGTATTATCAAAGTCACATTCTTTTCATAACATGAGGTTTACCTATACACTGACAGATCTGACATGCTTGCTTGATCAGGATCCCATAGAAGCACACTTGCCTGGTTTTCTTCCTATCATTCTCCCTCTATTCACTTTGCTAGCTCTTCCTCATCACCCAGTTTCTAAAGACTAAAATGTCCCAGAGCTCAGTTCTAGGATCTTCTATGCTCATTCAGTGATCACATTCAGACTCACTGCATTAGACACCACAGGAGAGTGACACTCAGAATTCATTTCCACCCCTGAAACCAGCCTACTTTACACACATATCAAAGTGTAAAGTTCCTTTACAGTAAGCTCTTAACATTCCTGTGGCCTGCTTAGCACTTTCTCAATAGGCAGGATCTCCTCTGTAAAAACTGTTGTCATGCAGTCGCACACAGTTCACACTCTATCTCTTCTTCGCTGGAAAGTCACCTCAGTGCAATCTCCTCCAACCATCTCCTCTTCCCCTCTGTGTTTCCTTCTTTGTTTCTGTCCCCAGCACAAGTCACTATGTGATATGTTCTACACTTCACTCATTCTGAGGGCGAGTTCCATGAGGACAGACTTTTGTTCAGTCTGTTCACTGCCATACCACAGTGCATTGAATAGGACACTGCACTTGTCAAGAATGTACCAATCTGCAGAAATGTGGGCTTCTGATATAAATAACACAGGATGCATGTCAATAAAATTTACTTAGTTGCCTGAACCTCAGTTGCCTGAACACTCAGAAGCTGAGTGTTACCAATAATTCCTCCTGCTCTCTCTTTTCTGATAGCCGCTTCCTTCTGTCTTCTCAGTACAATTTCTAAATCTATCATACTTTCTTCCAACTTCTACACTATCTTGGACTACTACCTCATTTTACAGCTGGGTGCTCCACAAGGCAGCAAGTAACCATTCCAAAATGTAAGTACCACTATCATGTAACTTTCCTTACGTTAATTCACGGATTTGCCTGTGTTTTGTTTTTTTTTTTTCCCCCCAGTCTCATGTCTCACTACTCCATTTTTCTGTGTGTGTTCCACCACAGTAAGCAGACTTGTTTTCTAATGTGTGACACTGCCTTTGTTTTGGGTTGCAGCCATTCAGCCACCTCTGCCTGGACACTCTCCACTTACTTGTTCCTCTTTAGGTCCTGCAAAGATGTACTTCATGCTGGAAAGCCTCTGAGACCCTTCTTGCACCTCTCCATGCTGCTTCCTTCCTTCCCTCTCCTCTGTTCTCTTTCCTCTGACTTTGTCCCTCCTGGAGCTTGGATATAGCTGCTGCCTGAGTTTCCCAGGACTTGGCATACATATACTTAGCACACATATACTTAGCAGATACTTGCTGGATGAGAAAATAATTTGATTCTTACCTTTCTCTTCTGGTTTTTTCCAGTTTGTCTTTTAAAACCATAATTTCTTTGTTGAGAGCAAGTTGCTGGCCTTCAGAGTCATGCAGCTCCTTCTTCAGATTTTTAATCTCACTTGCATGAATTCCTTCTCTTTTAGATATTTCTTCTTCATAAAAGATACTTTTCTTTTCCAAGTCAGTCTTTAGCTTAGTTATCTCTTGCTGATGCTCTATGCTGCATATTCCTGGTGAGTAGCTAATTTGTTTTTGCTATATATATATATAAAACAAAAGATTAAAGAAATAAAATAAGAAGTATATCCTTTCTATCAGGGACTATATATATCATATATATACACAAATACATCTTCTCAAAGATGTACATGTGAAGGCTATTATTTATCTGACATATATTATAAATACTTTCTTCCGTTTATATTATTTTATGGTTTATGCCTCTGATATTTTTGAAAGTCTGCACACTAAGGCCAGGTATTTGGCTGAACATTTTGTTGGCATTTGTTTGCTTTACATTTGCTCTAGTTTTCTCCCTATTGCTATGGTAAAGACTATGACCAAAAGCAACCTGGAATTTATTACATCCCACAGGTTAAAGTCCATCATGGAGGAAAGCTAGGGCAGGAGTTCAGGGTAGGAACCCAAATGCAAGAACTAAATCAGAATCACAAAGGAGTACTGCTTACTGGCTTGTTCTCCATGGCTTGCTCAATCTGTTTTCTTATATTGCCTAGGGCCACCTGCCTAGATACCACCTCAAATGATCTGGAACCTCTCACATGAATCATTAACCAAGAAAATGCCCTATAGACTTGCCTACAGACAATCTGATGGAGGCAGTCTCTCAATTGAAGTTCCTTCTTCAATCTATCAGACAGAATAGTAACAGTGAGACATCAGAAGCTCATCCATCAAATTCAGAAATACCATCAACAGAATGGGTGACATCCGTTATCACTCCTGTATCAATAATTTTAGTTATTCTGACTAGCATATGAAACAACAGAAATAAATACTGTAAAGAAAACTAAAAAATATTACTTCTGTGTAACTATTTCCCAGCATCAGAAATTAAAGATAGTATAAAATAAAAAATAATTCTAGATATTAAAAATAAGCAAAAATAAAACATTGTAAACACTAAAAAAATTCAGACAAAAACATGACTATAACACTCATAAGTAATAGCAGTGAAAATTTCCTCATTGGAATGAAGAGAGAAAACCCACCTTGATAGATATAAAATATTCCAACAGAAAAATGTCATCTACTGGGAAGGGAAGACCAAGTGCCCATGCCTTCACTATTTTCCATGTTGCCTTCCACACAATTCTAATAAAAAGAACCTGTTTCAAAGGTGAGAAAAGCACTGGGCATAGGAAGGGAGGAAAACAAATGATTCTTATCTGTGAAGAATCGATTTCAAAGTAGCCAAGAAAATACTGAAAAAGAAAAGTGATAGGAATACTCTTTTCAAATCACTAAAATACACTCAAGGTCTCTGATGCAGTCATCACTGCAATACATCTTCTTCAACTGAGTAACTAAATCCACATGGAAAATATCTTTAGTCAACGAGAAAGACAATAATAAATGGAAATGGAATCACCAGGTATCTATACAAGAACAAAGAATGGTCACTTCTCACCACTTGGTAAAACAAGCTACAAACATATTCAACAGCCAAGACTTTTGAAATCCTATAGAAACATCTGAAAGAATGGGAAACTAAATGTTAACAATCACTCAAGACAAGACAAGCTTTGAAGCAACAGAAGAAATACTGAGTAAAGAGAAATATTCTATAGTTTTACAAATGAACAATACAATTTTAAGACAAATGAAATTATGGACTAAAAGTAGTTGTTGAAATCTAAGTAAAAGTACGATTTCTACTATGTAAAAATTTATACAAATTGAAAAGGATTGAAAGTGGGCAAACAGAAATTTTACAGAGAAAAATACAGTTTGTAAGTTAAGTCATAATAAGCCAAGGAATGAAAAGAACTGCTATAACTTTTTGGCTTTTCATATTTGAGGAGATATTTATGCAATTTAAGATGATTTGCTCGCTTCATTTCTAGGTATTCATCTAAAGAATATAATAAAGAAAAAGTATCACATAAGTATCCATGGAAACTATCCTATTACAAAAGATGGGCTGGAGATGCCTCAGGAGTTAGAGCATTCTGCTTTCAGAGGACCCCAATTCTGTCCCGGCACCCATGTAATGGCTCACAATCACCTGCTTCTGGCCTCTGTGGCAACCATGTGCCTGGGCTACACTTAGCATACATGCAGGCAAAACACCCATACACATAAAACAAAAGTGAAATAGTTTTTAAAGTTTTAAAAGCACATCATTTAATTGCAGAGAGATTGCAGATATTCTTCTTGAATGATTTATAATCATTGAAATTATGAACATGGTCATATTTTAGTAGTGAAAATGCTTTCTATGAAAAGTGTGTCAGGGGTTAAACTGTCTCTCTAAAATTCTTATGTTGAAGACCTAACTACCCAGTATTCAGAATCTGATCATATTTAAAAACTGTCTTTCAGAGGGAATTAAGTTAAATGAGGTCATTAGGGTGATCCCTAATCCAATATGAATATGTCCTTACAAAAAGGAGAGATTTGGACAAAGACTGCACTCAGGAGAATTTCATGTAAGTGTAAAGATGTATCAAGTGATGCACCTACAACCAAGGAACATCAGGAAGGACCAAAAAAACTACTGGAAGCTGACTCTCCACAATGGTGATCTTGGACCTCTAGCCTCCAGACTCAAACGATCAATTCTGTTTTTGTAAGGCACTTATACGGTATTTTTTTAACAGCCCTGGCAAACTAACACATTAGGGACTGGGAATTCTAGCAATTATTAACTTCATAACAGTAATATTTTTAAATTTATAAAATATTGATATAATCTGCATATCACAAACTTCACTCACTAAAGGTAAAAATTCAATTATTGGTATATATTATTAATTTTAAAGTGGTAAATATAAACAAAGCTTTATTTTGACCATTTAAAGTACTCATTTTAATGCATGTTTATAAAATATTACAAATATATACTTTCAAAGTTTCTTCTTAACATTCCAAAGAAAAAGTCTGTAAGCATTAAGAATTAAACCTCTACCAATCTCTACTTTACCAGTATTTCTAAAAATTTGGTTACTCTAGGTATCTCATATAAGTGGAATCATACATTGTCTTATAAGTGGACTCATACACTGTTTCTCTTTTTATGTCTGGCTTTCACTTAACATGTTTTGACATATACTATAGTATATATCAGAACACCATTCCTTTTTATGAACCAAATGATATGCCATTGCAAGTATGGAACACATTTTGTTTAACCTTATCCATTTCATGATGTGTCAACTCATACATTGCTTCTACCTTCTGGCTTCAAAACACGTCAATATAAGTACATATATCAGAATACCCACTTTCAACTATATGGGATAAACATCTACATACACACACACACACACACACACACACACACACACACGAATGATACAGATGGTTGAGTCTGTGGTGTCCATGTTGAGTTCTTGTGTTCATCTTTCTAGGAACCAAGAAATCATTTCCAAAGTTGATGCATAGCTTTACATTCCCATAAGCCATGTACAAAGATTCCAAATTCCCTACTCTCTTATAAAACGTTTTTTTTTTTTTTTTTTTGGTCTCCCCACCTCCTTTCTCTCCTTGCTATCTTAGTAGGTGTGAAGTGGTTATCTCATTTTGGTTTTAATTTGCATTTCCCTAGTAATTAATGATGATACATCTTTTCATATGCTTACTGGCCATTTGTATATCTCCTTTAATGATATATCCATTCAAACTATTTGCACATTTTTTTTTTTGGATTGGGTTGTTTATTTTTGTTGTTGTTGAGCTGTAACATTTCTTTATATACTATATGTATCAACATACCACTAGATGAACACGTTGCAAATATTTTCTTACATACCTTAAGCTGTCATTTTACTTTCTTAGCAATGTCTTTCAGTGTAATATACTTGGGTTTGACAAAGCCTTTAATTTTTTTTTTGTTGCTTATCCTTTCAGTGTCAAATCTAAGTATCTAAGAATTTTATATTTTGTTTCAAATATTAAAGTTGACTTCCTATTTTTGAGTTAATTTTTACACGTGTAAGGTAGGGTTTCAAATTCACTCTTTCATATGAACTTCCAGTTGATCAAACATCTGCTAGAGCAGTGATTCTCTACCAGTGGGATGCAACACCTTTAGAAAACCTTTAGCACCAAAAAATATTTACATTACTATTCATAACAGTATCAAAATTGCAGTTATGAAGTAGCAACGAAAATAATTTTATGGTTGGGGGGTCACCACAGCATGAGGAACTGTACTGAAGGTAGTAGTGGTGGGAAGGTTGAGAACACTGTTGCTGTTAGATGCTGTTCTGGGCAGGAGAGATGGTTCAGCTGTTAAAAGCCAGGCTAACAACTAAAACATCAATAGACTGTTCCTTTCCCACTGAACGGAGCATTTGTCAAAAGTCAAGAGACTGTAGATATATGTATTCATTTCTGCACTCTTATAATTAAAATTCAGTAGTCTAACTATTACATCACAGTGTTTGAATTACTTTGATTTTGTTTTCAATCTTGAAATTGCAAATGCTGAGTCCTCCATCTTAAGACTTTGTTTCCAAAATCATTTTGGCTATTTAGGCCCTCAAAACAACATATGAATTTGACAATTTTGCAAAAGAGGCTACTGGAATTTTAATAGGTATTGAATTTAAACTGTACATAATGTGGGGTGGTGCTGTGCCTTAGCCAGTCCAAGTCCTTCCATGTACAAACATGTCTTGCCACTTACTCAGAACTTTTCCTATTTTTTTCTCCAATGCTTTATAAGTTTCAGGACTCAGAATTTCAAATTATTTAAATTTATTTTGAGGAATTTTATTTTCTTTAAATAGATGTTACTGTAAATAGTTGATTTCTTAAGCCCCTCTGAAGACTTCATTGCTCACTTTGGAAGCATAACACTTTAAAATTTTGATTAAGAACCTTGAAATTTGGTAAATTTGTTTGTTAGCAATATTTTTAATGCAGGAATATGTCACATATGAAGAGAAAGAGCTTCTTTTCCAGTGAACATGTTTTTTTCTTTTCTCTTGTGTGTCCTCTGATTAGAAGCTCCAAAAGTGTTTAACACAATGGGGACAATGGGCATCCTAGCCTTATTCCCGATCTTA